TCTAGCTGTCGCTGATGTGAACATGTGCCTCCATTGACTTACCGGTGACAGCACTTCATCCTGTCGAAAAGCCTGCTGCCAGCACAGGCTCAGCTCAGGCGGAGTGGAGCGAGCGCTCTCAAAGAGCCCGGCCCAGTCAGTGAGGGACGGAGGCTCAGGCGGAGTGGAGCGAGCGCTCTCAAAGACCCGGCCCAGTCAGTGAGGGACGAGGCTCCTGCTCCCTGCTTTCGCGTCGACACTTTCCGTATACATTGTTTGCAAAAGTGAGATAGAAACTAAGCCCCTATTGCCCGTATCAGTGACCTTGATAGCACTATCTTATATTTGCTTTTTCTCTTCTCTCACTCTCCCCAGTATATCACTTCTGCCCTCAGAATCACTTCCCAGATAAACTGCCTGCATGCAGTCCTTTTCCCAGGCCCTGCTTCTGGGGCAGCCATGATATATCTATGAGTACTTTCTATTTCTCCTAGGTTTTGTTCATTCATTTATATGAGTGCTGGTAAATAAGAGTAAGGTAGGAGACCTGCTAAATAAGACTGCTCCATTCTGCTTGAGAGTCTTTTGCATCTCTGCCTGACACGCTGGAGCGTGGGTTTGCGCTTCGCCTCTAGACTCACCGCAGCCGCGGAGCCGGTGCACCTCTTCTCCCTGTCCGCTTGCTGCTTGGCTGCTGTGCTTTGTTTTGTTTGATTTTTAATTGAAGGGTGATTGCTTTACAGCATTGGTTTGATTTCTGCCGTCCATCAGCATGAACTAGCCGTAGGTGACATTTGTGCCCTCCCCTTTAACCTTCCCCCGCCTCTGAGTCGTTGCAGAGTCCCAGGTTGAGTTCCCTAAGTCCTACAGCATTCCCATTGGCCATCTCTCGTTTTAGGGACACCAGTTACCCTAAAGTTGAGTTACCTTGTACCCAATTTTATGTACCTTTGTCAGATTGCTTTATGTTTTTTAAAATGTATATTCTGATTATCTTAGCCCTTTTATGTTCTATTTTCAGTTCTGACTACACTCTTCCTTTGTGTTTAATTATTCTATACTGTTTGATCAGCAGACTCCCTCTTTACTTCACTGTGTTTCAGTCGTTTAGTTCTTATTCAGACATCTTGAAGCCTTTGTGAAGAATGTCTCTGTACTAACTTGTATTTTTCTTCTAGAGTTCTTTGATCTCCTGTATGCCACATTCCTTTCTTTCTGTCTTTTTTCTTTTTCTTGCAGCCCCTGCCCGTTCTCTCCTTGTCCAGCTTTCTTTCAGTTTGTCTGTTTTTCATGCCTGTTCTTTTCCATCTTCCTAGTGCTCGACAGCTCTGCCCAGACTTTGCATTTGCTTCCGCATTATGTGGGCAACGTCCTTACTCTCCGTGCCAGCATTATTCTTGGCTCAGCTCACTTTCGTGGTTACAAAACATACACTCTGCAGCTTTCCACTCCTCTTCTGACTCTCCAGGAGGTCATGGGGACCCGTAAGCAGTACTCCTGAACTCTGATGTGGCATATTTTTGCTGCCAGTTCTGACATTTTTCCATCTTCCTATCAAAACTTCTCCTATGCCTCTTCCTGCCCATGCAACACAGTATCAGGATTTCCTCCCTGTGACTGGGGAGTACATTATGTTTCCATCGTGGAGGCCCTCAGAGTCTGGCCCTGGAACCTTCACTTCTGCTGGGAAGTGTCCTCGATTGTGTCTCTGTTTTACCCATTCTCACCTGCAGATCTGTGGCATCTATCAGTGATAGATGGGAAGAAAACAGAATTCAATGTTTTCTCTCTGGATTTGGTGTATTCATGAGAGTGTTAATTCAATTTAGGAGCCTTGCCAAACTGGGCTGCTCTATTTCTTCTCAGAATCTGCTGTATCTTTCCTTGGTTTCCATCCTTGAAGTTTATAACTTTGGGCCACGCCTGTCATGTGTATTTGTTGCTGGAGAACCAGCCAACCTCTAACCTTCCCTCCTTTCTCCTCTTCTTTCTTCCTTTTCATTTTAATTTGTTAATGGGTAGGAAATGGGAGATGATTAAAGAAGACTTCTTTCTACTTCTTAATCCCAAAGTCTGTCTTTTGGGTTTTAATTGTGGAAAAATACACATGGCAGGCAACAGAGGATGAAATGGTTGGATGGCATCACTGACTCTGTGGACATGAGTTTGAGCAAACTCCGGGAGATAGTGAAGGACAGGAAAGCCTAGCGTGCTGCAGTTCATGGGGTCGCAGAGTCGGACACAGCTTAGCAGCTGAACAACAACACATAACCAAATTTACCTTGTTTTTTAATAGTGTTTTGTTGTTGAAGTACAGTTGATTTACAGTGTTTAATTTCTGCTGTACATCAAAGTGATTCAGTTATACATATATAGCCATTTTCCTATGTTTTCCATGATGGTTTATCATAGGATACTGACAATGTCAATAGTTTCCTATGCTATCCAGTAAGATGATATTTATCCATTCCATATATAATAGCTTACATCTACTAACTCCAGTCTCCCACTCCCCCTCTCCTCCACAAGTCTGTTCTGTTTGTCCATGAATCTCTTTCTGTATTGTAGATAAGTTCATTTGTGTCATATTTTTAGATTCCACATGTTTGTTGTTCAGTTACTCAGTCATGTCCAACTCTTTGCGACCCCATGAACTGCAGCACACCAGGTTTCCCTGTCCTTCACCATCTCCTGGAGATTCCACATGTAAGTGCTATCATATAGTATTTGTCTTTCTCTTTGACTTACCTCACTTATTATGATAAATTCTGGTTTCATCCATGTTGCTGCAGATGGCTTTATTCTTTTTATGGCTGAGTAGTAGTCCGTTGTGTGAGTTTCAGTTTTACTCAGAGACCTTACTGATGACTGTAGCCTGGGAGACAGCCACTTCGCAGCTCTGAGTGAACTGCTCCAAAGAGGTAGGAAGAGAAGCCAGCTGAATCATGGTTGTTGGCTAGGGAGTGCGTACAGTCAAGCTTACATCTCAGTAAGAGATTGCAGCTAATCACAAGGAACAAATGTCTCAGTTACTTATTTCAGTGCTTCTTCAGATATGGGAAGATTCAAGAATCTGGATTTATTAAAATTCTTTCTAAGGGGCCTGTTTTTCCAAAGCACAGAGTGCCTCATTCTGTTTTTTGTTGGGTGTATTATTGGTCAGCAACTACAGTTGCTAATGACTTAATTTGTGTATAACTACATGGTGAGTGACAGTCTTTTATTTTTCAGCAGAGTTTAGATATATTTAAAATAGGCAAAAATGTAATACAAGAATAGGCAGAAGATCTTATTGCTATGGGTAAGTTTGAAAGACATGGCCAAAATAAAACCCTTCAAAGGAAGAAGGAAATAATATTTATTACATGCTTGTTATGTGACACAATTTTGTTAGTCCTCATGAAATCCCTAGTTTATTATTAACAGATTTGTTACCTCCACTTTTCAGATAGGAAAACTTAAGTTCATTGATGTAAAATGACTTTCTCAAGGACTCATAGATAGTAAAAGTGGACCCTTTATTATTGATGTAGCTGTACTGGCAGGAACATTTTGCAGTATAAACATGAACTATTACAGTCTTTATTTGGTAAATGCTTTGGAACTATTTATCCACTTCTGGGCAAGTGTCTTAAGAAAAAAAGCCTTTTTTGTGAAGTATACAGTAATTCAGTTCCTAAAGGCTAGAATTTAAAAATAAAGACTGCACTTTGAGATTTAAACTTAAAGAATCAGCATATGCTAGGTCTTAAGTAGAAATACAGAGTATCTTAAACATAAATGATGGCTCCAGGTCTGCAAGTTTTAACCTTTTTTTAAGTTTATGAAATTTACCAATTTCTTTTGATATTAAGAGGATAGATATTATTATTCATAATGAGGGTAGCGGCTTTAGTTTTACTCCTCTCCTTCTGAACACTTACAAACACCTCTGAAGAGGATTAAGATTGCTTCTTAATCTCTTCCAACGTTCTTTTTTTATTCACCCCATTGTTCCCATTCCCTTCTCTCACCAGCTATGACTAGACCCATTGCAGAGGCTCCATAAAGTTGAGGAATTAGGGGAGAAAGGTGAAGACAGTTTTAAATTCTTTATGACTGCTGCTGTTTGACTGTTCTGTTTTCATGCATTTCTCGTTGAAAGGATATAGATATGACATAGGGATTAAATGTAGGTTCTGCTTATAAGATAACTTGTGTTCACATCTCTGCGTTTGTGCTTAAGCGAATTACATAAATTCTCTGGACTTCAGTTTCATCACTCATGAAGTGAAGTCTCCAATAGTGATCCATGGGATTGTTTCGGAGAAAAACTAGGCATGTAAGAAATCCCCGTCATGTGAGAATCATTCAGTAAGTAGGAATGTCTCCTCCAACAAACTTCGAGCTTCTGATGAGGGCAGTAGTTCACAGCTGTGACTGTTGCAGTCCTCAGTGAGCTGCTCAAAAATGCAAGCGAGTCAGCTTGGTAGAGCCTGGGGGTCAGGTTCCCGCCCCCACATTGTTTATTTGTTTGCTCCTTTAAGTAGCATGAGATTTTTGTCTTTTATTCACTGCTGTATCCACAACTCCTAAAACAGTGTCTAGCACAAAAAGACTTTATGAATGAATAAAAGGCAAATTATCTTTGGTCCTCAGTGGTTTATCCCTACTCTTAGAAGAAAAGTTTTCTAAATTTACGAATATGAAATTCATCCTTTTTAGTAAACAGTTCTGTTTGCCAATATATGGTCAGACCCTGGCATGGCTTGACCTGAACCATGGTCACGGTCATCCTCAGCTCTTGGCAACCACTGATCGAATCTTCAGTCTTAGAGTTTGGGGCTCTCCAGAATGTCTAATAAGTTGAATCATAAATTATACAGTCTTTTGAATCTGGTGCTTGTCACGTAACGATGTACATTTGAAGCTCATTTGTGTTGTGGTTCAGCATTTTTTAAATTGTTGAGTAGCATTCTGTTAATCTGGAACAAATATGTTAACAGTCTTGCTCTGTTTTGTTCTTTTTGTTTGATTTCTAGCTTTCCAGAGTGTTGGATCTTCCACCAGAAAACTTGATCAAGTCAATATCTGCAGTTCCAATTTCCAGAAAAGAGTTAAGTATAATATATTTGTAATGATCTAGAATGTGATTGATTTTGTCAGTTAACAAAAAAATGCAGTTACTCTCCAGTTTACAAAATAGTTCTTGAAATTATTCTTAATACATGATTTAATATGTTACTCCCATGGCTTTAAATAATAAAAATTCTGTACTTTAATACTCTGAAATGGCAGATTATATTAATATTCTCATGTTGTTTTGATGTTTAGTGTAATAACTGTATGGCAGTCTTTGAGAAATTTGAAATGAGGCTTGATTTAATTCTGTAACAGCAAATAAAAGAACTAAGATTCTAGTTAGAAAATCAGAGTTTTTGAAGAGATGTTAGAGATTAAACACCTATCTAATGCCTGAATACTCTTGTACCATGTTTACTGCTAGATTTTTGGTGATTTTTTTTTTTGGTTTTAGTTTTTCTGCTTGTTTCCATTTGAGGACTCCCCAGTGATAGAGAACTGCTGGCTAGGGCTACATATAATCTATATAGTTGCCACTTGGATTCAGAGAGATCTGTTTTGTGAGTTTGGTCATGCTCATTGATGCTTTGTTTACCAGCTGACTAGAAAATTTCAATACTTGAATAAAATAGTCTCTCAGTTAATTAATAATGACAAGAAATTAGCTGCATAGTAGGCTTAATGCTTTAAGCTTAAATTCTTATTATACTGTTATGATATAATGATACCATTATTACTGTTCCATCATGTCCTTAAATATTTGTCCCCTTAACTTTGTTAGGATTTTAAGACAAAGTAGAATGAATGTTCTTTTTCCCAGAATAGGACAAATGGATAAGTGGAAAAGAAAGAGAAAGGCTACATATGGTCTTGTAAAAGAGCATCTTTAAAATAGCCTGTTACAACTTCATCTGCATTGAGTTCCAAGAATAGAGGAAACCACTGAGCAAAAGATGGGCCTCATATGTAAACTGATAAGAGTGTTGCCAACAGTTACCTACTTTATGAATCTGTAAAGGGCATTTTGCATAATCATGGAAATGTCTCAGTTTTTATTTTATGTTTCAAAGACCTTTAGTAAGCTGAACTGTCTTGACCCATCTTTTGTTTCTTGTTTTTTTTTTTAAATGAGGTAACAGTATTTATATTTCACATAGACAATATTCTCTATACAGTATAGCATGCTATGTCACCACCAAAAATTTAATGTTCCATCTGTCATCATACAGCTGATCCCCTTTACCCATTTAATTCTCCCCACCACCCCTTCCGCTCTAGTAACTAGAACTCTGTATCCGCATGTTTGATTTGATTTGTTCACTTATTTTTTGTTCTTTATACTCCACACGTGGGCACAATCATATCGTATTTTTCTTTCTTGGTCGGACTGACTTCATTTAGCGTAATATCCTCAAGGCCCATCCACGGTGTCCCAAGTGGCAAGATCCCGTCTTTTTCTGAGGCCAAGTAGCATTCCATTGTTCATGTGTGTGTGTACATCTTCTGTATCAATTCATTTTGGGGCACTGGTTTGTTTTATACCTTGGCTGTTATAAATAATGCTGCAGTAAACATATGGGTGCTTGTATCTTTTCAAATTAGTGTTTTCATATTCTTTGGATAAATACCCAGAAGTTGCTGGGTCATGTGGTAGTTCTGGTCTTCTTGAGGAATCTCCGTAGCGGCTGTACCGATCTACATTCCCACCAGCAGCAGACACTCAGTAGTCTGAGTGTCCCTTTTTCTCCACATTCTTGTCAGCACTTGTTATTTCTTACTTTTTTGACAGTACCTGTTCTGATGTGAGGTGATACCTCATTTTGATTTACATTTTCCTAGTAATTAGTGATGCTGTGCATCTCTTCACTTGCCTGTTGTCTTGGCCCCTCTTTTGAATAAGCTTTTCTATACCTGGTTTGAGTTCCTTTGGGCATTTCCACTTTAGCAGTCTGAAATACTAAGACTTTGTTTTATAGAAAATAAATAATGAGGAAGACCTCAATTTCTCTCGTCTACCAGTTGAAAATTCTGCATATTGAATTTGTTTAAAATAAAGGAATTGGTACTGCTTTGTCTTCATAATGCCAGTTACCCTTTAGAGTACTGAAACAAAGCCCAACTGTCCTGTATTTCTAAAGTGCTATAACATGCCAGGAAAATTAAGAGATACTGTTTTTGTTAATGTGGTTTATTTAACGTGATATGAATCTGTTTGTTCAGGTAGTCTAATTCTCTGAATTATGTAGTTGATCCTTGAACAGCGTGGGTTTGAACTGCATGGGTGCAGCTGTATGTGGCTTTTTTTCCAGCTAGCATGAACCGCGGTACTTCATGACCCATGGTTGGTTGAAGTCAATTGACCTCAGAGCCCCAGTGGGTCCAAGGGCTAGTGTTGGCCCCTTGGTGGCAGAGCCGGGTCCTGGAGTCTGTAGCTGCAAGGCCCCCCCAGTGGTCCTAGTGTGGCAGCCGACTGGTGGGTGGTACTGGGTTTAATGTAACCCTGAGGGTCCAGGAGGAGTGCCATCATTGTCGGGGGGGTGGGGGGTGCCTGGTCCCTCTGGTGGGCAGGACCAAGTCCCAGGGAAGCTTGGGACTCTGGAGGTCCTGAGATACCTGACCTTCAGCTAGGTGGGGCTGTGACCCTGCCCAGAGATGCACTTGGCCTGATGTGTCCCATTATTGATGCTGACAAGCTGGTCAGCAGGGCTGGGTCCTGAGGTGGCTGGCTGTGTGGCCAGGGGACCCTAGGGCCTGGTTCAGGCCAGCAGATGGGTAAGACTGGGTCACAAGACAACTGGCTCCAGGGCCCCAGGGATCCTGAAACTAGAGCTGCATCTTTTAGGGAGCTAACCCCTAGGGTGGCTAGCTGCAGGGCCTGCCGTCCCAGAGCCAGTGTTAGCCTGCTCATGAACAGGGCCACGGCCTGGAATAGTCCTGGGGCTGGTGATGGCCTCCTGGAGGGCAGGGTCAAAGTGACCCAAGGCTGGCGATCGCCCACTGGTGAGTGTGGCCATGTCCTGACCTGGCTGGCTGAGGTGCCCAGGGTGTCCTGGGGATGGTGTTAGCCTTATGTTGAGTAAGGCTGTGTCCTAGTGGGCTAAACCATATCTTTTGCTGCAGGGCCCAGGAATCCCAGGGCTGATGCCCACCCCAGTGAGGAAGGAGGGTCCCTATGAGCACTTGTGGCAGCCTGGGGATCCCTTGGCTATTGTCAGCCCATTGTTGGGTGGGGCCATGTACGTGGCCTGGAATACCCCAGAACTGGTGAAGACTGGCTGGTTCCTGAAGCTGGGACCCAGCACTAATAAGCTAGAAGGAGAATTTCAGAATGGTCCTTACTAGCACCAGCATCCTCATGGAATGAGCTCCCTAAATTGACTGCTGTCAGTATCTCTGTCCCAAGTTGCGCAGCTGTACTTTGTGGCTCAGTCGTGTTCAACTCCTTTGCGACCCCACGGACTGTAGCCCACCAGGCTCCTCTGTCCTTGGAGTTCTCCCAGCAAGAATTCTGGAGTGGGTAGCCATTTCCTTCTCCAGGGGATCTTCCCAACCTAGAGATCGTACTTGGATCTCCTGCATTGCGGGCGGATTCTTTACTGTCTGACCACCAGGTTTTGTTCTAGTCATCCAGTGACTTTAGCGGGTAGTTGCTCTGTTAAATAGTTGCAGTTTTTGTGTGCGTGCAGAAGGAGGTTGGCTCAGGGTCCTTGTATTCTGCCGCCTTGGTCACTGCTCAAGGCTCAGGAAAATTCTTAATGGTTATTATTGACTAGATTCCTTAATGTAATCAGAAGTTACACAATTTTTTAGACGAGTGCCTGGATTTCAAGAATGATAAGGAAGTTATTTGTGCTCCTCTGTTTTGTGTTGAAGTGAAAGTCGCACAGTCATGTCCGACTCTTTGCGACCCCATGGACTATACAGTCCCTAGAATTCTCCAGGCCAGAATACTGGAGTGGGTAGCCATTCCCTTCTCCAGGGGATCATCCCAACCCAGGGATGGAACCCAGGTCTCCCACATTGCAGGCGAATTCTTTACCAGCTGAGCCTCCAGGGAAGCCCAGGAGCAGGTGAGGGGCTAGAAATGGGCCAGACAGACAGTGGTCCAGCCACCTGTTCTGCCCAGAGAGTCTCATTCTCTACTGCGTTGTTAAACATTCAGTGTTGGTGATTATGTGGATGTTTGTCTATTATTTTTATCCCTTGAACAATTTCAAACTATAGAAAATTTATAGAGACTGATGTAATGAATACTCATGTTCACTTTCTAACATGTCAGGTCTTAATTTTTCCAAATTTTGTTTTTTACACATCAAACATTAGTTACTGTTGAAGCCACCTGTATACCATCCTTCCTTAGAGATAACTGCTCTTTGCAGCAAATGATTGTTTTCACTAATCAGTTGCCTGGTTTCTTTCTTGGTTTCTTTGTTTTTGCATTGTTTCATCACCAACCCAATGAAAAGAATGGCAATGTCTGTCTCTTTAAGGAACTACTGGGTGTTAAGAATAATACTTTTCTCATGTTAAAATTCAGATTTCACTGTTTTTTAAAAATTTTGCTTTGGTCATCTGAAGGTCAGTGAAGAGGCTTGAAAGAAGGAAGTATTTGAAATAGTGGAGGAAAACTTGTAGAAGAGGTCAAGAGACTTGAACTTTTTTCTGACTGTTTGTTAGTTGCAGTAGACTTTTAGGGGAGACAATGAACTTGCCAGACATCATTTTTCACATTTGTCAAATAAGGTGGTTGCTGTGTGTCTCTTACAGAGATACCATAATGCTACAGCTGGGTGATGGAAGAGGAAGAATTTTATAAGATAAAGTATTCAATCAGTACATAGTGATGATATTTCTAATTGCTTTGCTTTATATTTTGAAAGTGTAATTTCTGATAAGAATATGTCAGTGTAGAGAACCCCAAAGTTAGTCTTTCTTGTTGTTTTTACTCTGGTAACGTTCTTAAGGTAACAGTCTTTTCCTGTTTCACGTCTGTCTTTAGAGAGGTAGCTGACTTCCAGCTTTCTGTGGATTCTCTATTGGAAAACAACAATGACCATTCAAGACCAGATATTCAAATTCAAGCCATGAGACTGGCAGAGAAGGTACTTTAGCACTATTACCTCTTTTGACATTATAATAAACATGTTAAATAAAAAAATATTCTGCAGGGTATGTCAACCATAATAATGGATTTAATAGTGTTTCTTTGTTCAAGACACCTTGGAAAGTATAATTTAAATTTATTTTAGCTGCATACTATAAGGTTAGGATGGTTTTTGAAATTAGTTATGACACACTCCTCTTGAGCTGACAGTATTCAGTTTTTTGATTAACTACTTATAGGAAGACTGAGTGTTAATTAAATTTATAGATTGAAGCTGGATGGCCTTCTGAATTCAGGAGAACAAGTTTGATAAATTAGAATAGTGGGCTGCAGTTTTAAAAATGAGTTTCTGAGAAGATGAACATTAAAATATGAGAAGAAATGATAAGCTGTAAATAGAACCATGATTTCAGAGAAGTGGTTAGATGATTTAATAAACCTCTTTCATTTCTAATTTCTCTGATGGGCTCAGTATCTAACAGAGGAATTGAAAGGATTATGGAGAATGACCACATCTGAATTGTTAGTGTTTAATACCTTCAGAAAGAAAAGGAAGGTTTGGGACAAAGTTGTCTTGTTTTGTTTTAAATAGGATTACTGCATGTGATACTGAGGAAGGCATGGGCACGCTGAAGAGCCCAAACAGTGAGAGTCACTTTCACAGGAAAACGTGTAGAGAATGAGTATGGCAGAGAGGCTCTGGTTGCTAAGTAGATGTTCGTGTGACCACAGAAATCACCCCAGATTTGTTTTCTTTTTTGCCACACTGCACGCGGGACCTTAGTTCCCCAACGAGGAGTTAGACCCGCAGTCTCTCACCCCAGATTTTTATCAGGAAGCATGCCAGGAATAAAATTCTCCTAACTACAATATTTATTTCCTCCTCCTCCTGTGAGTTCTCAAAAATGAAAACTGGTGGCTCCTCAGTAACACCAGGTATCTCTTGAAATAAACTTAATGAGTCTCCCGGCTGCTTTGAACATCGGGCTGGTTAGAAATGGAAAGCGTGTTCATTAAAGACCAAATATTTAAATTTTTTACATATTTTATGGGGGTGTAAGTTGTTTTAGTGGAGGCCCTAACAGAGTATCATGTTCTATCACTCTTATGGAAGGTGGGTAAAATAGAGAGTTCGTTGCATGTCACGGTACGTAAGGTGGGGGTAAAGTGATGGCTCCTTTTTTCCACATTAGAGAATTTGAGGTGAGAGCATGGGAAAGAGGAAGAGAGAGTCTCTGAACAGAGTAGCATCCCAGTCGGGAAAGAAGAAAACGTGAACACAAACGTAACGACAGAGCTGGAGAGACCCGCTAAGCCCAAGTCCAGACACATGGCTATGAGAGAGGACACACCTGCTGTCCTTGGAAGCCAGTCCCATACGATTCGAACTGCAGAGCTCACTAGGCCTATTTTATAACATACCTGTTTCACTTTACATCTTTTCAGCTAAAATGTGACACAGTGGTGAGTGAAATCAGCACTGGCCAGGGGACTGTAAATTTCAAAATCAACAGAGAACTGTTAACAAAGGTAAGACTGGTCACGGCGCAGCTGGCGCGCCTTCTCTCGTTCCCCCCGCTTCAGCGGCAGTGCTTCCCCTCCGGCTCTTAAACTGGTCCCGCCGCCTCTTGCCTCAGACCTTGTGCACATTCTGATCCCACCACCTGGAAACCCCGCCAAGTTCAGTCTGCTTATCGGGCACATCTTGATGTCCCCTAGCAGTGCCTTTCTGACCCCTTCGTTCATACACGCTCTTAACGTGTATATGCCTCCTTGGCAAAATTTAACTGTAGTTGCTGTTTTACGTTTTTCTTATTTGATGAATGCCTTTTGCCCTTTAAACTCTAATTTTCTTTAGGGCTTAAAGTATCCGTTTTTCTCACATACCCGGTTCCTAGTACAGCACCAGGCATGTAGTAAGTGCGAGATAACCATTATTAAATGAATCAATGGACTCCGTATTGAATACAAGAAAGGTACTGCTGGGTGCCACCCTTTAGTAGCCTATAATCTGTTGGAAGCATAAGATATATACAAGAAAAACCATAAGACTTTTTCTTTAAGAAAATTCATATTGTTTTGTTAAAAGTGATTGGTATAGTAAGCATAAGAAAGACCAGAGACGGTGAAATAGGCTGACCTGAAGGAGCTGGGGACACCTCACGGAGGAACTGGTCTCCGCTGAGTGAGTGTGGAGGACAGGCAATCCTAGATAAGCAGGGGTGCGAGACCCTTTGAGTTTCATCTCAGTTGAACTTTAAAATTTATCATAATGCATTGTTTGGTCTATTATTTAAAAAAAAAAAGAAACACCATTGTTGGGTAGGTCAGGCTTTGTATATACTGTGGTCTTTAATTGCAAATAAGGATAAAACCAAAACTTCTAATATAGTTTCTTACCAAGGTTATGTAGTTTACAGATGTTTACCCATCAGCCCTATAATTCTTCTGAAAGAGTTAGTGTTTCATGCTTGTCTTTAGATCTTTGAACTTTTTTCTTTTTTCTTTTTTCCCACTGTTATTTGAGGATTAAACTTGTTAAACTAAAATATGTCACAGGGACAAGAAGGAAATTTGTTTTGAGCTTGTTAAAAAGTGTCTCTGTCTTGTTAGGCTCTTGATAACATTTCTTGTCAACTTAGCAAACCAGTGAATCTAATGTCCCATTTTGAAGTAAAGGACTCTTCCCAGTTGCTGTCTCAGTGTTTGTAGAAGGAGAACGGCAACTCACCAGTGTGCCTTTCAAATTTTAGGCCCCTTGATAGACGCCAATATTTTACTTTTTTTGTTTTCCCTGAGATGGGAAAATGTGCTATGGTAGATGAAGTTTGCCTCTATAGCCAGCTTAGCTGAAGGAGATGTGGTTTATATTTCGAGGCAAGGCATATATTTTATTAATAATTTAAAATTTCAATGGCCGTGAGTTTTCATGCTTTATTACAATTAATTATGAGGTTTTCCTGTGGTATAAGGGTGCCCACTAGCTCACTTATTAAAAATATTCACAAACCCCTCTCAGTTGACAATGCGGGGCAAGAGTGAGAGCTTTGAGGCCCAGCTGCTCTTCCTCATGTGGAAACCCTCCCTTCACTGTAACAGCTTTGAGGCTCTGGGTGTTAACGTGATTTTCATTAAAGGACAAGCAGATTGCTTACAGCAGCCCTGCCCAGTGTCACAGTAAAGATACATCTAGAGCAGCACCCATAGTCTGAGAAAGGAATGTTAAGCATTGTACCTGTTATAAGTTATGATTTAATAATTCTTATCTGCTCAAAGCCTAATTTCTTCTACACTTGGCGCCATTATTTTGGGGCCTTAAACAATATTCATTTGTGAGTCTCAAGTTTCCAGATCACATTGAAAAGAAAATTCAACCCTCTCAGGACCATTATAAAACTTTTTTTCCACTTTGAAGTTATCAAGATTAACATGTAGCCAGTGATCTATGTCCAAAACTTAATCATCAAGCAGAGAATTATGAGTTTGTCATTGCTTACACATGTACAAATTTAGCCTTGCATAAAATGTATCTGTTCATGCATTGCAATTGAGTTATTAATACTGGCAGAATTGGGGTGATTAAATGTTAGCTTAGGTTTGGAACACTAATAGCAGTTTATACTGTCTTCATATAAATCATCCTCAAAGGTAGGAGGCTAAAATGTGAAATTAAAAGCAGTGCGAACTGCCACATCTCTGGGACTAGATAATACATTTTTGGGGGCTGGAGGAACTTACCACTGTGAAGAGCTCTCACTTTGGCACCAGATTTGTTCCTGGGGCTTCCCTGATAGCTCAGTTGGTAAAGAATGTGCCTGCAATGCGGGAGACCCTGGTTCAATTCCTGAGTGGGGAAGATCCCCTGGAGAAAGGATAGGCTCCCCACTCCAGTATTCTGGGTTTCCCTGGTGGCTCAGCTGGTAAAAGAATCTGCCTGCAGCGTGGGACACCTGGCTTTGATCCCTGGGTTGGGAAGATCCCCTGCAGAAGGGAAGGCTACCCACTCCAGTGTTCCAGCCCGGAGAATTCCATGGACTGTGTAGCCTGTAGGGTCACAGAGAGTCAGACGTGGCTGAGCAACTTTCACTTTCACTTTTCAGAGATGACTTTCAGAAGCAACTGTAGCTTCAATTAATAGTTAATTCAGTTTACAGGGAGGAAAAAACAGAAAATGAGTTTAACCACATAGGGAAAAAGCAAACAAAATCCTGTTTTTGTTTTTTGGATTTTTTTGGTGTGCCTTAGAAATAAACAATGAATAACCTCATTTTTTATTTCACTTACATGCAGTTTTGTTTGCCAAATTCAACTGTGCATGCTCTTCCAAAACTTAAGGAAAAGAAAAAAAAGACTCATTTAAGTGTTTCTAACTTTGCTCATTATTTCACTAATTGAGTTTATGTCAATAGGCAGTGGTTACATTCAAGTCATGTGTAGTGTCAGTTGAACACATGGAAAGAACGTGTTGAACACATGGAAAGTGGAACACACTGATCTGTCATTCAAGCATTCTAACTTCATTAGAAGTTCTGTTGAAAGTTGTAGAGAAATACTGACCAATAAAGAATTCAATAAAATGGCAAAATTATCTACAGAAAATGGAATGGTGGTAGGTAAACAGAAAGTACCAGCCAATTGGAATAGTCATTAATTGGCTAAAGCATTCCAAAAAGTGAAACTTTTGAAAGATTTAATTTCTGTTAAGTTCTTTATGTACCTGCTTTTACATTACCAAGTATATCTTACTTTTAAACATAAATATTGGTGAATAAATGGCCCCTAACTCATTTCTCTTTTGTAATATCAGGGAACTTTACTAGCTCTCTGACATTCTTCTTTGTGCCCACTAATTCAATAAACTCCTTGCTTATTATTTGCCAGGGACTATATTACTGAAATCTAGAGTCAAAATGGCATGTGTCCTGGCCTCAAAGAAAGAAAAGCATTAAAAAGTCACAATGTAATGTGTAATGGCTAGACACTGGGATGAACCATATAATGAAGGCATGTATAAGATGCAATCCCAGTGTAAAGAAAGAAGCACATAAATCTCTTCTTTTTTTCCTTCACTCCATCAAAGTAAATCTGTCTTGAGGAGGCAAAAGATAACCTTGAATTAGGATGAAAATAAAGAATATCCTTGGGAGATACGAGGGCAGGCATTCCAGGCAGAGGGGACAGTTGGGCCAGGGTACAAGTAAGAATATGGCATTGTCTAGAAGTCAGGAGGTGACTGAGTCTGATTTGTACGTTGGATGGCCTGGGGAGGATATGAAATTACACGGTGGGAAGGGCCTCACGTGCTCCGCCAACAGTTACAGCCTTTCCTCTGTCGTCGTTTCCGCGGTGTGTTATGTGTATCACAGGTGGCACCTGTGGTGATTCTTTCATTTTAATCATTATATATTATCTCTTACTATAAAACAACACTTCTAACTTGTGATTTTTATCAGTATTACAGTGTGCTTTTCAACAAACCAATTTCCTCAAAATTAAAAAAGTAAAAATGATATGCATGTAAAAATCAAACCAGAAACTGTAAAGTCACTTAAGTGGTAAGAAATCATTGAAACCTTGAAACAGAAAGTAAATCATGTCCGACTCTTTTGTGACCCTGTGGCCTTTAGCCCACCAGGCACCTCCGTCCTTGGGATTTCCCAGGCAAGAATACTGGAGTGGGTTGCCATTTCCTTCTCCAGGGGCTCTTCCCAACCCAGGGATCGAACCTGTGTGTCCTGTATTGGCAGCCGGGTTCTCTGTCACTGAGCCACTAGGAAAGCCCATAGACCTGATTAGATACGTGTATTATATAATATAGGCATTACTTTTCTGTTTTAGTTTTTGTAGCAGTGTCGCTGACAGATGATGAGGGTCTAAACCAGAGGAGGGAACTAGAGTGATGCGTAGGAGACAGCACATGCAGAGCTTGGTGATTAACAGATGACTGACTCTGGAGGTTGAGGGAAAAAGGTAGATCTTAGGAACTCCCAGGTCTCTGACTTGGTCAGCTGGAGGGTTCAGAGTGAAGTTTGTAGAAATGAAGAATGTAAAAAGAAGGGGAGTATGTTCTGTTTGAAGTGCCTGAGAGACATGCTCAGTCCTGAGTTGTGTAGATCAACCTGTAGCACAAGATTCTGGTAGGTAAGTGGTGAAGTCTTAGGACTTTACACCTAGGAGAAGTGTAAGTAAGGAACTAGAAGCGAGAAAAGAGTGCAGCAAGGGAATTGGGGTGGGCATTGAAAGAGGGATCTGCAAAGGAAAGCAAGAGTCAGTAGAATGATGTCATGCAACCAAGGAAGAGGGGTAGTTTCAAGGAGAAGGGAGTCGTCATCCACCAAATTGATGCTTAAAAGTGGTTACCCCTGGGGAAGGCAGAAAGGGATGAGGATTAGAGCAGACTTTTGCCTTATCTTAATTTAATTTTTTTAATTTTACAAAAAATGAATTGATAAAAATAATAAACACAACTTAAGTATTCAGCTGGGTTGACATTTAAAATACTGATTTTGAGAACACCTTCAGTGAAGTAGTAGAGAAAGAAATATATAGTTAGCAGGTGGGTTGAATTGTCAGTGAATGCTTTGGAAGCAAAGCATGTAAGGTAGTCTTAAAGGTTTTTTTGTTTGTTTGTTTATGCCAGAGTCATTTATTCAAGAGTCGTTTCTTAAAAGAGAATTGTAACTGCCAGTACCTTTTTTTGGAGTCTGCCATCCCTTACGTAAAAAGGGGTAGAAGGTGAAAAGGATGGATAAGCCTTAACCTCTGAGCGATCCAAGTATGAATTACCTGTGACATTTACCGCCCTAATTGCAGTCTTCGTGTGACCCCTGTTCTTGGAGTAACAAACACTGAATGGGTCCCTCGTGTACTGTAGACAGTACTGTATTAAATGTCTATATAATCCTTTCTCTATGTGGCTTAATGCACAGTGTCAGTGAAGGATTTTCTCTGTGTCTGAACCTCAACTTCTGAACCTAGCTCTTGCATCAGTTAAATGGGATGTGTGGCCCGTTTTAAGATTGTGAGGCTTAAAGGTAACGGAGGCGTCTAGACTTGAGCCTGGCACTCGATAGAGGCTTCTTAAAAGTGTTGCTCTGTTGCCTCCTCCTGCCTCTGCCTCTCGACTTAGTGACGGTCTTGACCAGCCCTGATGGTAGAATTCTTCATGTCGGAAACTACACTTTTAGGCCTTAAAATCCTGTTCGTGGAACAAAATCAGTATAAGAGTAAGTAAAAATCTATCAGTCATTTCAAAATCCTACAATAAAAAAATAAACAATGAATAAATGCATCATCACCCTTAGCAAAAAATAAAGTATGAATTTTGTGACCTATATAGTAATTCTATGGTTAATAACTAAAAATTAACCTGGAATATGTTTTCACAGTTTCTGTAGTATTGCCTCATTTCTTATTTGGCCAAGAGGCACTTGAGTTATGATTTTTTATTTGTTTTCTGCCATTACTAAGGTCATCAGTATCACAGAAGTAGCAGCACCATGCCGAGTTAACGCTTAAGCTGTGGAGTGAGCACAGGTTTTGCAGTGTGACCTAGGGAAAGTTACTTAACCAGTCTGAGCTTCTGTTTCCTTGCTTGTAAAAGTAATACTCATTTCAGGGTAGTTGTGAGGAGTAATATGTATAATACATATAAAATGTTTAGTACAGTGCCTGGCTTGTAATCTGCATTCAGTAAATATTAGATGCTGCTTCTGGTTTTATTGTTGCTGTTTGCTATAGGATAACTTTTGGCAGTTATCCGTCTAAACTTCAGTTTCTCCATCTGTAAAATACCTACATCATTGGCTGCGGTAAGGATGAATAGACATGATGCATAACAGGGCACAGAGGCCCCACAGATGTTAACTTGTGTCATGACTGCTCTGATTAGCATTAGCGATCAAAGGAGGCAGTGCTGCTAACTACTGTAAACTTCTCAGCTCCGTAAATTAGAATGAGAAAATTAGCAAGAATTAGTTCCCAGTAACAAAGCAATTAAGAAAATTGCAATTTTTCTTTTTCATTAAATCCCATACCTTTTACTCTTTAGACTGTACTGCAACAGGTGATTGAAGATGGCTCAAAATACGGATTAAAAAGTGAACTTTTTTCTGGCCTCCCCCAGAGGAGGATTGTGGTTGAATTCAGGTGCGTACCTGCCGACCATATGCATTGGTTGGTAACTGACTGGGCAGGCGGGTGTTTTACTGTTATTATCTGGGTCTCACAAAATTACACATGGAAAAATGAAAAATCAGTGAGCTTATGTTCTTAAAGTCACATGAGTTGATCATTAAACCATGAATAAAACTTGTGGAAATTTAATCAAAAAAGTACCTGATGATTATTATGGGTTTTTTCCTTTATTAATTATGTATTAATAGATTTTTTATTTGCTTTTTTTAGAAGATCTATTTCTTCATTTTAGTAGACTCCTAAGGTACATATAATGGTTACTATCATATTAAGAATTTCAAAGTAATATAGTTACCAGAAAACAAGCTTTTTGTGCTTGTGACATATGTGTATGTATTTTTAACTTTATTGAGGTATAATTGACAAAATTATAAAGTAACGTGTGCAGCATGATTTGATATATATACACACACACACACGCACACACTGTGGGAGGATTTCCCCAACTGAGTTCGTTAATAGCTCTGTCACCTTACGTATTTACTTCTTTGTTTGTGTGAGAACATATGTTCTACTTGCTTAACGAGTTTCAGTTATACAAGACAGTGTTATCAAGCGTGCTCTCCACTTTACACTTTAGACCCTCAGTACTTAGTTGTCTTACGGCCGGAAGTCTAAGCCTTTTACCAGCGCCTCCTATTCCCCCTGGCCTCCAGCCTCTGACGGCTACTTCTCTGTTCTGTTTCTAGAGTGTGACTGTGTAGTCTTCAGATCTGACATGTACGTGATAGCACGCAGTGTTTGTCTCTGTCTGTCTGCTCATTTCACTTGGCATAATGCCCTACAGTTCCATCCGTGCTGTTGCAAATGACAGAATTCCCTTTGTTTTTAAAAGCTGAATCACAGTCCATCATACAGACACACCACGTTCTCCTTACCCTTCATCTACGGATGGACACCTCGATTGTTTCCGTACCTTGGCGACTGTGAATAATGCTGCACTGCACATAGGAGAACAGATGTCTCTTCAGGATACTGATTTTCTTTCCTTCGGATGTATGCCCAGAAGTGGAATTGCTGGTGGCTCAAATGGTAAAGAATCCACCTGCAATGCAGGAGACCTGGGTTCAATCCCTGGTTTGGGAAGATCCCCTGGAGAAGGACATGGCAACCCACTCCAGTATTCTTGCCTGGAGAATCCCCATGGACAGAGGAGCCTGGTGGGCTACGGTCCATGGGGTCTCAGAGTTGGACACGCCTGAGTGACTGAGCACACACACTCGGATTATCCCAGATCAGGCACCTTTGTGCTCTTTGCAAGTTCCCGTACGGCCTGGCGTACTTTCTTTTTGGCCTGAGATGTTCCAATCTTACGCAGACCTGGAATTGTCCATTTCTCCCAAGAAGTCCTACTTCCCTTTTTGTGAGGAAGGTATTTAGAAGCCAAGTTCCGGCTATAGGAGTGCTTATTACTACTGGAACTCAGTTTTTACTGATGTTACCAATTCAGATCCAACATCATTACATGAAATGCATATTATTTAAAATTACCAGAAAGATAGCTTGATGTTTTAACATGGCTCTGCATAGTCTTCATAATAACTTTCTTACATGCCATCATTAAAACCATCTAATCTTTGAATTGTTCTTAGGTAACCAAAAAAGAAAAAGCGATCACTTTTGGAGTATGGCTGGCAGGTCACCGCTCATGACCATTTTTTGGAGAAATTGTATTTGCCTTATTCAAAGCTAAGGAAAAGTGTCGATGAGCTGTTTTCTCACTTAACTAGAACTTGCTAGAGCCTTTGTCTTAGTACATGTTTTTGTGGAAAATTTTTTTAAGTGGAGGTGGTAAATACGATTTCCAGTTTCTTAACTCATAATTTATTGTGGTAACTTAAACTTAGTTATGATTAGCACCTGGATGATCAGAGGTGAATGGGATCTATTTGTACTGTCTTCTGCCACTCAACCCTGTTCTTAGAAAAAGCAGACCCTCTAAGACGTGGTAAACTCATCTGTTTATGACAAGGATTGATTGTTGAGTGAGCTACCTTCTTATGGAGCAGGTACAAATTATGAATAAATCTTATGCCACCAGTGTGCTCCATTCAGGATGTTTAAAGTTTAAATGTTGTTGCATCGACAGAGCAAAGAGACCTCTGTAGTCATCCTCACAGCAGAGGGGATCTACACTAAGGCCATCCCCCAAAGAAAGCTGCTTGAAGTTTCAGTGATCTCTTGCATAACAAGCCACTACAAAGCTTGATGTGGGGAATGGCAAGCTTTAGCTCATGGGCAAAATCCAGCCTGCTGTATTTTTGTAAGTTTGGAATACAGTCTTAGATGTTCATTTACATATTGTCAGAGTGGCTACTCTGATACGCTTAACGGCAATTGAGTACAATAGACAAATAATTGAGATAGAGACCAGATGGCCTAAAATATTTACTGTCCGGCTCTTTAAGAAAAAGTTTGCCACACTACTGATTAGTGTTTTAAAACAACAAACAGTTGTTTTATGTTTCATGTATAGACCAGGAAACTGGGGAGACCATAGCCTAATGGTTTTTTTGCTTGCCTGTGGTCACTTAAGCAACTCTGGTCATCTAGACATTATACTGGGGCTAGAAATCCAGGTAACTCATTTACTTTTCTGCTGTCTCACCTGTGGGCTGGCCAGGCATCTCTCTGTAGTCTCTCTCCAGCAGAGTAGCCATACCTCTTTACAAAGGTGCTAGGACTCCAAAATAGTAAAACATCTGGTCTTGTAATGGGTATATCATCACTTATGTCACCACTGGTCAAAGCAAGTCACAAGATCATCCCTGACTCCGGGCAGGGAAGTCGATTATATCTCTTAACGAAAGAGTGGCAAAGAGTGTGTGGACACTTTGAATTCTTTTCATTCTGTCTTTACAGTGATGCAGTGTACGTACCCTTCTCTGGGGAGGCACTTCAGTACTCTTACACTCCTTGCTCTCACCTAACCAGCAGTAAGGGCTATCAGTAGGGAAGTAGTATGGTATCTGTTACTGCACATTCGCCCTTGAAATAGCGCTGTCGCCAGTTTCCTGAAACGTGAAATTTGCCACCCGTGCACCTTCACGTTCACTTCCTCTTTACCACCCCTCTCCCAGCCAGAATCGAACACCAAGACTAGTCTTTCTTAGCCATTGGTTTCTCTCCAAAGCTTTTGTTTCCCTTGTAATACTCACTTTTGTTTATGCTTGTAAGAAATGTCTAAAAGTAGCCTGTTCCATTTGAGTTGTCTGAAGGCTTTTTGAACTGCAGTTTATTTACTTGCAGATTTGCCTCTCTCAACTTTTTCCCAAAGGCGTTAAGGAAGGCTGGAACTTTTATAAGCATCTGATCATTGTTGAAAGCAGAGTTCATTTCCCAGCAGTCATCTCTGCTCTCTGTTATTTTTCATCTGGCATTGGTGGGGGACTGTAGCTGCTTCCTCCCTTAGAAGTATTCCAGATTCTGTGATGCTTACTGTGGTTTCAAAAGAGAGACAGAGAGGTAGACAGGGGGTAGAGATTGATAGAAAACATCCTTCCTGAATTTCTTCTGAAAATGAGAGGGGGGAGAAGAGGGAATTTATTTAAATATACAGTGTCTGTAATAGACCGGGTGACTTTAGCCCAGAGTGAAGAGATAGAAACACTGTGTCGAGAAACGCGCCCCAGGGACCTCCCTGTGGTCCAGTGCTTGAGAGCCGTCCTTCCAGTGCGGGGTGAGGGCTCCGTCCCTGGGCGGGAACCTGGGATCTCACACGCCTTGGGGCCAAGATACCAAAACATAAAACAGAAGTGGTATTGTAACAAGTTCAGTGAAGAATTTTTAAATGGTCTGCATCAAAAGAAATCTTTGAAAAGCAGAAACTTGGCCCTAAAATTGAGATGATGATGGTGATGCCAGGTCAAGGAGCTTGCCCGAGTCACAGAGCTAACTCTGAATCCTGTATGTTTAACCTTCACTGCCTCCCTGGTACAGTGACTTATGGTGAGCTTCCCTATGTTTTGTCAGACCCAGGAGGAGTGTGATAAAGGGCCAGGGTAGGTGGCTGTCCGCCCTGGGCTCTGGTTCTCCCCGGTGGGCAGGGTAAGACCTGAAGCAGCAGCGGCGCCCGCCTCTCTCCTGAGTCAGCCCTTCCTCGTGTGTTCAGAGCCAATCTCCAGCAGCACAGTCGGCAGCGGCAGCCGTTCTCCTCTTCCCCACCGCTGCTGTTCCTCCATGTGAAGTGTGCCCACAAGACAAACTGACCTCTGGGAAGATGGGAGTCCGGGAGATCAGGGGACCAGTCTTCACTTAGTAACTGATTCAGTCATCTGGAACGGGGCAGTTTACTTCTCTAGTCTCTTAGGTGTGGGAAATAAGAGTAATATCTCTTTTCTTACAAGGTTGAGGAAATTACATGAAGTAATACTTCAGAGTTCAGTAAAGCATCCAAGTTGTAATCCATAGTAGTTACTTTGGTTGCCAAAGGAATTGAATTTGTATTTTCCACTTCATTGTATTCCCTTCTGATTAAGAATGTGGTGCCAGAGAATGTCAAATTGATATTTCAAGGGAGGTTTTTTGAAGCTCTAGACAGATTGTTCTTCTAATTCTAAAGAAAAAGTACAAAAGTTCTAACCAACAGGCACATTAAAAGATGTTCAACACTGCTCATCATCAGAGAAATGCAAATCAAAACCACAATGAGATATCACCTCACACCTATTAGAATGGTTATCATCAGAAAGATCACAAATAACAAATGTTGGCAAAGATGTGAGAAAAGGGAACCCTGGTGCACTGTTGGAGAGAATGGAAATTGGTAAAGCCACTGTGGAAAACAATATGGAGGTTTCTCAAAAAACTAAAAATAAAACTACCATATGATCCAGCAATATCACTCCTGGGTATATATCTGAAGAAAAAAAAACACTAAAAAGATTCATGCACCCCAGCATTCACAGCAGCATTATTTACACTAGCCAAGATATGGAAATAATCTAAGTGTCCATCAACAGATGCATGGATAAAGATGAGGTTTGTGTGGAATACCACTCAGCCATAACAAAGAATGAAAACTTACCATTTGCAACAGCATAGATGGACTTAAGCCAGAGGAAGACAAATGCGTATGTCATTATTTATAGGTGGAATCTAAAAATGAAGCTAACTATACAACAGAAAAGAAACAAGCAGAGACACAGAGCACAAACTTGGGTCTGCAGGGGGAGGGGCGAGGCGGGGACGGGGCTGCGACCTGCAGACTGCTGCATCTGAAGTGAGCGGCACGGGTGTATCGTGCCCCATGGGGCAGCATGTTATAACAGCCTTAAATGGAGCTTTTTCTTTACAGGTTGTGATTCACCGTTGTGCACCTGAAACATACAATGTAAATCAACTATACTTTTTTGCATTTTTAAAAATGCAAAACCTATGCATAAACTGTATTATTAGATAATATTTTTATTAGATAATAACCTTAGTTTTTAAAAATTCAAAGATGACAAAAGGCTGTGCAGTGAGAAGGCAGTGTCCTCCCTACCCCAGTCTCCTGGTTTCCTTAAACAGTTAGCAATGTCAGTTTCTTGCTTACCCACCTAGAGATCATACACATTATACATTGTTCTCCTTTTTCCATTGAACAATGTATCTTACATTCCTTTAATATCAGCACATCCATGGCCAGCTTTAGTTTTTTATAGTTTTTTTTTTAAAATCAGCTATATTGAGGTATAATTATACAGTACAGTGCAAATCACTGTATTTCAACATTGCAGTTTAATGAGTTTTATCAAAGATGCCAGGTCATATAACCACCACTACCGGTTATTACATCACAGTTTCTCTTTTTTTTTTTTTTTAACCTTCATCTGTATTACTCCCTTTTATCTGCTTACCTGGGATTTAGTTTGAGCCTCCCTTTCTAGTTTCTTAAAGGAGAGTCTTCAATTATTGATTTGAAACCTTTCTTCTGTTCTGATATATACATCGTCACAGTATAGATTGGTCTGCTTTAGCTACACCTTGGGAATTTGCTAGTAAGGCAGTCCTGAGGGTCACCCTGTTGGCTGACCTTCTCCTGGGGATCACAGTCCTTCACCGTCCTGTTCAATGTCATGAAACTATTGTTCCATAAATCTTCCTAGTTTTCTAGTTGTTTAAGGCAGAAGGGTAATTAAGCCTAAGCCTTGTCTTCTCTCTTGATTAGAAGCAGGAGATTACTCATTTTTTAATCCCATAGAAGAACATTTGGTTTCTTTCTAAGTAACGATTACATGAATTTCCTTATAGTTTCATAATTTCACAATTGTATACAGATATCAGTCAGATCAAGGTTTTAAATTGTAATACCTTTAAAAAGGTAAATAACAAGGCTTTGGAGACAGACCACAAGTAAGCCCTTGTTTTTACCACTTTTAACTAGCTGTGTCCTAGTTAATATCTTTTTTTAATATTGAAAAACTTAGGAAATTTTCAAACATACACAAAAGAGAGAAAATGTATATTAAGCTCCATATGCTCATCATCTAGGTTCAAGAGTCCTGAAGATATTGCCAAATGTACTTCATTATCTTTTTTCCTTTTTGTGTCTCAATTTTCTCATCAAAAATAAGAGATGAGAGTACCTTACACCACAGTTCTTCTGACTGTTGAGTCAGACTGCCTGTCGGGGAGTGAATGTGCTCTAGAAGCATTAGGTATTGCTGAATCTTAATTGCAACTTCTCAAACACCAAGAGTTAACAGATGTGTTGCTTGAGAATTTGGAATGGTAAAATTCTATTTCTGGTTATCCTGGGAAGCTTTCCACATAAATATTTTTATATTTTTGTTTTAATTTCTGATACAATAAATATTGATAGATATTACTCATATAAACAAAATTCCTTTGGGGTCCACAATAATTTTTAGACATTAAAGAATTGAGAACCAGTGCACTGAACTTAATTTCTGATAACGTGCCTCGTTTGTGTCAAAACAGCCTCTCTGAGCTTCTCCATCTTTTTACCAGACCTCTGCTGTGTCCGCTTGCTAAGTGTGCTGCTGCTGTGTATGTTACGTGACTCCCTCTTGAGTCACAGGATCAATCTCCTAAGGATGGTTCTTTGTGAGATCTAATTTATCTTTGCTCTAAATGTCTCATTTTTAAAAATCATGTATTTTTGGTGGCGCTGGGTCTTCATTGCTGCGCACGGGCTTTATCTAGTCTCGGCGAGCAGGGGCTACTCTTCACTGCGCTATCTTCTCCTGTTAGGGACCACAGGCTCTAGGCGCATGGGCTTCAGTAGTTGTGGTACATAAGCTCAGTTGCTCCTTGGCATGTGAAATCTTCCCGGCCTAGGGATCAAACCTGTGTCTCCTTCACTGGCAGGCAGATTCTTATCCACTGTACCAGCAGGGAAGTCCTCTAAATGTCTAATTTTTGACTGTCTTTGTCCAAAATTACCAAAGGCTTTAGTCCACAATTATATTAAACTATAGCTATGACCTAATTCATTTTAGAACTCTTGTTTGTAGAACAGAAAAAAATAACTTTTACAATTATCTTGCAGTTCACCTAATGTTGCCAAAAAATTTCACGTTGGACATTTGCGTTCTACCATCATAGGTAAGTACTGTTAGTTTCACATAAAATACTGAACATGACTTTTGGAGCAGCATTTGGTAATATAGTCTTATGGTTTAATGCTTAAGTAGCAAAAGGACAAAGAAACAAAAAAATGAAGTTTATATGAGCTTAATGCTAATTAAATATGACCCCAAAATGAAAAAAAATTGGTTTAAAAATGACAAAAAGAAATTTGTTTCAAAACCAAAAGATTGACTCAGAAACCAGGTATGTATATTTTGACTTTAACTTGTTAAAAGTATGTATGCATATTAAGAAGAACTGAAAGATGCATAAATGAAAACAGTTATATGGGATTGATAGTCATCCTCCCAGTTTTTTTTTTGTTCATGTATTTTGTTTTAAAAAATAAACTCAGTCTGAGTCATATGAGTACTAACTGGAGTTTTCAAGACTGAAAATTGAAACAGGACTTTCCCAACAAAGATTACTGTTATTACTTCTTGGTTGTAATGTTTGAGGGTACAGAAGACTTATATGATTTCTATTAAAATATGACATTATATAGTAGCCCATCTTAAAACTGCAGTTAGAATTGTGTAATATTAGAATTGGAAGGGACTTTAGAATTTATCTCATGTAATCTGTCTTCCAGCATAGAAATCTGTCTTTTGCATACTTAAAGTGATTTAATCTATACTGGAATACTTTAAAGATTTGGAGAATGTCCATATTTGTGGAATAGGTTATATTGCACTATAGTCAACTCTCATTGTTAAAAAGTTCTCAAGCAGCATTATAAGAGAGGAAATGACAGGACTTGACGAAAAAGAATATAAGAAATAATGCTGTGTAAGAAAAGCTACATAAGTCAAAAGCATAGGAGTAATTGATGGGTCAAGCATGTTAAACTTGTTTGACAGTTGTTAAGGGACATGCTTGAACCAGGAAGAGATAATATTTACTGAAACTTACTATGTTAAGTGTTTTCATGTGTTATCTGAACTAGTTTCACAGTAGCCCTGATTAGTAAGTCCTGTTGGTTATAGATGAGGAAACTCGGACACCAAAAGCAACTTTCCCCAAATCACAAAGCTAGTGAAGTGTAGCAGCAAGGGTTTGAAATCAGGCGGCCTAACTCTGAAAGCCTAGGTTCAGGCATTTAGGTGGATTTATGAGCTAATAGGTGTTTCCCTGGTAGCTTAGCTGGTAGAGAATCTGCCTGCTATGCAGGAGACCCCAGTTCGATTCCTGGGTCAGCAAGATCCCCTGGAGAAGGGATAGGCTATCCACCCTAGTGTTCATGGGCTTCCCTGGTGGATCAGATGGTAAAGAATCTGTCTGCAATGCTGGAGACCTGGGTTGGGAAGATCCCCTGGAGGAGGGCATGGCAACCCACTCCAGTATTCTTGCCTGGAGAATCCCCATGGACAGAGGAGTCTGACGGGCTACGGTCCGTGATGTTGCAATGACTTGGACTCGATTAAATGACTAAGCACACACATGAGATAATAAGGTGCTGCAAAAAACGGGATACAGTCTGAGTGCCAGCTGCAAAAGGTGAATTCTGCTGCTGGGACTGTGTAGTTTGGGGAAGTCTAGAAGTAGGGAGACTGGAGAAGGAGCCACTGTAATTTTCAGCTATGCCTGTTGGTTATTTGCAGAAAACTCGATCTCTAATAAAAGCAGGAGGGAGTTTACAATGGGATATTGAATAGCTTGCAGAGTTGTTGGGAGTGCTAAAGACTCTTTGGATTAAGCTGACATAGATGATGCCCAGAACTACCACAGAACTTCATCATCAAGGGAGCTTCTGCCTTTTCTTCGATTACTGCCACTGCCAGAGTCAGGAACCTGCCATTATTCCTGGTTTATTGTGCCTTCGAGAATTCAGAGAAGCAAAAGAGGCCACCCCATCCTATCTTTCACTTCCCTTGGAAGTTGTGTGACAAGACACTAGGATCTCCAGAAGTGACGCTACCAAGAGTCAGAGCCTCCACCACTGTGCTTTTCAGAAAAAGTAAAGGTCACTCGCTGCTCACCATCTAGCTCACAAAGGAGGTGGACCCAATTGCCCATGACTTCTGAACCCTCATTGCGAGAGGTTCTGGGGTCTGTGACTTTCAGCTTCCCAGCCTCTGCAGTATGTGCAGAACAGTAGATGTCAGAGGTCAAGCCTGCATCGGCAGTAAGAAGGGTAGAGGCCTTGGAGTCCTGTGTGCCGTTATTTGGGGAGCAGCATGAGAGGTTGGACTTCATAATTGAAAGGAGGTGGAGTGAGCTACTAAAAAAAAATCCATATGGCTGAGTTCTTTAGGGAACACCCAAATTATATATTCTTTGTTAATTACTGAGATTCTGTTATTTGCTGTCCTTGGAATTGACTTGGAATCACCATTACTCTGTGTATTCATAACCTCCATTAATGTTGATGAAAATTGTGAGATTTAGAATAATTACATTCTCCAAAATAATTTTTACTCCTTTTCCATATTATAGATGAAAACACAATAATCAATGTTTTTGTTTTTTAAAAAAAATTAGTAAATTTTGTCAAGAGAATTTTCTGTTATGCTTTGATATTATATGGTTCTTATGCCAAAACATATAAGAATGAGAAATTATGTATTTTATTGATTACTAGGAAATTTTATAGCAAATCTCAAAGAAGCTTTAGGACATCAAGTAACAAGAATAAATTATCTTGGAGATTGGGGCATGCAGTTTGGTAAGTAAGTTCAAGGTTTTATTTTTCACATCATTGTTAAGTTTAATTTGTCTTAATATCACGTTACTTGATCATCTGGGCAAAATATGGGCCAACTCCCATTGGATGAAGTAGTGCCTCCTACCTTTTTTTTTTTTCCTGATGGCTCTTTTCCATAAATCTTGTATTTTACTTATTAGAATAATTCTTATCATACAAGTAAGTTTTGGGGAAAGGAAACTTCATATATACAGAAAAAGCCCTGAAAAATATAAACTTTTGTGGTTTTATTAAAGTAGCTTACATTCATTAGTTAAATGTAGATGTAAGTATTAGGGGAAAAGTAAGACTAGGTATACACCCTTCTCAACAGCCTCCCTGGATCAACCTATAGGAAATGGGATTTGTCATACCCTGAGCCAGTGGCCTAGAAGAAAAACAAACTGGGATATTTTGGCTTCCCCTTAAATTATACAAGTCATGGGGTGGGCGATTGGTCAAAATGAAAAGAGAGGAGGAAGCGAGTGAGGCCCAAACAGTTGAATGCCACAGATTATCTCTAATGTCATGAGTTTACTGAGAACTGTTCCCAGCTCATGTACTGCAGTAATCAAGGTGTGGGATGACTAGAGGATGACGCTGATGTGGTAGGGAAGGACTCGGAGCGTGTCAAATGCAAAGTCCTCACTACATCTCTGGCAGCTGCCGTGTGCGTTGTAAGATCCAGCCCCTGTGTCAGCTCGGAAGAGCATGCGTTGTAAGATCCAGGCCCTGTGTCAGCTCGGAAGAGCATTCTCTGACCCGACACGCCCTTGTCCACCTTCTCACGTCACCGAGTTCCTAGCATCCAGCTCTACCCAAATGGGCTTTTCTGTGACTGTTCTTTTGTGAGCTGCTCTCCCCTGCTAGGTGAAATGTTCCATGAAAGCATGGGCTATGTCTTAGTTATTCTTGTATCCATCGTGCTTGGCACATAATAGGCACTCAGAATGATGAAAGAATCTGTTTTGGGAAGTCTTTCACAGTCTATTCCAAAAGAAAGGCTTGGTAACGTTTTCAATACTAAATACCATGTTTCATGTCTACTGAAGTGAAATCAAAGTTTCTGAAAGATAATTTATCATGATCTTCTCTTATGAATGTTATCCACTCAGTTAATAAAAATCTCTTTTAGACACTAAAAAGGATAGAACTTGAACCTTACAGTGCCCTTACTATTCATTGTGGAGGAACAGAAAACATGCCTTGCATTTAAAACACCCACCTGCAGCTCACAGTGGGCACTCAGAGTTCTGGGCTCTAAGCCCAACAGTCAGATTTAATAGATGGCATCCACTTTATATGAGTTTTTCTGATTCAGGCACTTCACAGCCATTAGCAGATATGTGATTATGATATTCATTAAATTTTAGCTGCAGCGTTTTAGTGTAGTGGTTTTTCTCTAAAGGACTGCTATGGTTAATGATCTGTCGACATTTCCATCAAACTGTCATTGTTAAAGAGTTAATTTTGGCTGTTCACCTATCCCATATTAAAAGTTGGCTGACAGTTCTTAAGTACAGAATTAGTTTTTGAAAATGTATTAGCTTGAATGTCAAATGGAATTGGCCTTTACTTTTCCTGTCTCTATTTTTAAGAATGCTTTGGGTGTCTTTTTACACCCAGCTTTCAGAACCCTGAATCATTATCACATTTGCTTTTGCTTAAAAGTGAATGGTGCTGGTACTTATTTTAGTCATCCTTCTAGTTCCTGTCTAAGCTCCAAAGCTTACCCACCCTGTGTTTAGTAACATTCCGCTTTCTGCTGAGCCTGTATAGAAAAACGTACATCAGCAAGGCCCAGCAGCAACAGCCTCTTTAGATCTGAGGCTAGATAACTGACAGAGAAACACATTCGTTTTTTAAAATTGTACTACCTATAATTACTCTTGGCCCAAGCTACATACATCCTTCAAATCCAAAATTGTCGTCACCTTTTAGCAAAATATCTTAAGAATATAAATATTCACAGTCTGTACTAAGAATTTTCATTGTCATTTTCAAACCTCAACTATTATTTTTTTTAAAGTTCAAATTAATACCATCTCTGAATTTTGAACTTACAAAAGACTAAAAAAAACCAAAAACTTAAACAAAACAATGGCAAGTGAAAGACAAATGTATAGCAAGATAAAAGCATTTTGTCACCTTGAATGAAAAGAGTGATCAGAGTTTTACTTTCAGTTATTTGAGAACTAATAATTGTAACACTAATATGATTCCTGTCTTTATTTTCACATCTACAAATTTTAAGAGGCATCTGAACTCACTTCCCATCATTGTCTTGTCACAGGTTTTGAGTGTCTAGTGTGTCTAGGGCCTGGTAGCACATGTCCTTCTGCAGAGTAGTTGCTCGGTAAATGCCTGGTTTACTGATATCTTGTAGGGAGGTAGGCGCTGGGCACTGTTAGCACAAAGATAAATTAGTCCCAGACTCTGCCTTTGAGCTCATAGTCTTTTGGTTTCTGTGAAATTAATTTCAGTGAGCCCTTCTATATATATTGAATTTGTGATTCAATATATTGAATTTGACTTGTGTCAGTTTATGGGGTAGTAGGACATGATAGTGTGTGTTTTGCAATATCCTTAGGATGCATACCTATTCCCTGGCATGACTGTTCTGCACTGTTCCATTTTTTAATTTTCTCATTTTTGGATTATTGCGGCAGGTCTTCTGGGAGCTGGCTTCCAGCTGTTTGGCTATGAAGAAAAACTCCAGTCCAGCCCTTTACAGCATCTCTTTGAAGTAAGTTGGCGAAAAAAAAATCATAAAATGCTTCATCTTTTTTCAGAGTACAGTGCAGCTTGGTAACACATTTTTACTCCCAGGGGCTTTAAAAAACAACAACAACAAAACTGTTCCTTAAAACAAGGACCCAAAATTATTGAAAATATTGCTTATATTTTACTAAGAACTTACTTTAATTTTCTTATCCAAATATTTCTTTTGTTACTATCTTAGTTGATTTGGGACAGTATTTATTCAGGTATAGAATCTTGGCATAAACACACAGAATATCAGATTCAGCAGAGAATTTGTTGGTCTTTTATTTGTTGTTATGTACTGCAGCTTCCTTCGCCCTAATAACTGTAAATCATTTAGACTTGAGAAAACATGAGCATATACGTTTTTGCTCTTGTTCTGTTGTAGAGGGAAGGCCCATGTATTTCTCCAGATTGTGCGTCCTTTTCCATTTGTCTTTCAGCTCCTTTTCCTGGCTTTTGCCCAATGTGCACATCTTTCTGTTCTACCTCATTTACTCCCTTGGACACTGCTTTTCTGTCCTCAGTTCTTCCTGGAGCTCATTAATAAAGCTCTTCCTGTCCAATTAGTCTCCAGGAGTGTGTTTCCTTTTCATTGTCCCAGTTGCAGGCTCTGGGCCTGACAAGGAGCACAGACCCTGCCAGCCGCTCCGGTGACATGCGGGGCTGGACTGAGGCTGCGTGTGAGGAGGCGGCTCGCCCAGCAGCGCTCCACCCCTCTAGCCGCAGCCAGAGAGCGCGTCGTCCTCACTTTCGTTACATTATTCAGTAGTTAAATTTAACAAAGCACATCTGATGCTTAAAGATCTTCAACGTTTGTGATTTCCTCCTGAGTTTGTACCTTCACTTGCATTTTAAATGCCTGTGTTTTGATTTATGAAAGTGCAAGTGTTAGTCACTCAGTTGTGTCGCACTCTTTGTGAACCCATGGACTGCTCTGTCCATGGGACTCTCCAGGCGAGAATACCGAAGTGGGTTGCCATTCCCTTCTCCAGGGGATCTTCCCGACCTAGAGATGGAACCCAAGTCTCCTGCATGGCAGGAAGATATTTTACCATCTGAGCCATCTGATTTATACTGTTAACCAAAAGATTTTTCCCCCCTCTTTCCTATTGAGAGTTTTATGGATAGGTGAGAGTTTAAAAATTAGTAAATCTGTGTGGTTGTCAATAAAGTGTGCTGCCTTAGTGCCTGGCATTTTACTGTATTATTTTCTAAAACTATGAATAATCATGAGTACTTTTACCATGAGCTTAGTGAACCTTTCATCAGATCCAGGCCCCAGAGACAAACCCACAGTGCAGGCAATGCAAGAAACCACTTGGAGACCTTGTGTTGTTCAAAGAACATTCTTTAAGAATTTAGAGTACATTTTGACATATGAGAGTTACTCCTTGCATTTTCTTCCACCCAATCTCAGAAGTTTTTAATTTAATCCTGACAGTAGTAAATATTTTTTGCCCATATGTTTTAAATATTGTAGTGAAATTTGTCCTTAAACTCTCTGGCAACCTAAACATACATTTTATTCTATGCAGTTTAATACAGTTTCCTGCCTCTTGAGACTCATAAGAAGAGGGTTTTCAGACGTCTGTATTAGAGATTGTTGATTGACAGACACACATAAGGAACAGACGAAGGGGGTACTTTAATGAATAACAAAAAACTCAAGGCACAGTAGTATTGCTTTCATTAAGTGTTCTTTTGCCTAATAGCTTCATGGTGTGGTGTTCTAGTTGCTAAGTCATGTCTGACTCTTTTGTGACCCCATGGACTGTAACCTGCCAAACTGCTCTGCCCATGGGGTTTTCTGGGCAAGATTACTGGAGTGGGTTGTCATTTCCTTCTTCAGGAGATCTTTCCAACCCAAGGATCGAACCTGTGTCTCCTGCTTGGCAGGTGATTCTTTACCACTGAACTACCTGGGAAGCCCTAGCAACCTCTTAGAGGAGCAGTATTTGTAGACAAAAGAGCGCTAGTCAAACACACCCACCTTGCTGTTTGTGATGGAAGACAGCAATCCATTAGAGCACTTAGCTGCTTTCTTCCTCCTCCCCTTGTTGAATGGAGGGAAACGCAGAGCCTAGTATGGCAGACTCTAGGTTATCTTATCTTTGCGCTGTTTCTTCAGACCCAGTTTTATTTTAAAATTATAGTTGTCACTGTAGGTTACTTCCAGCAACAGCTTTTAATATAAAGGAGAAAGTTTGTCCCTTTTTGAGTGGTAAGCAAATGTTAATGATTTTGTCCTGTTTCTAAACAGAAAACCTGAACCTTGGTCAAACCCGGTTTTTTTCCTTCTCAAGTTACAGATGGAGCTCTTTTAGAGGAAGGATCTATCTTCTTGGTCTTTTATCTGCAGCCTCAGACACCGTGCCTTACAGTAAATGCTTGAATGAATTTGCCTCTTCTGTTTAAGTTATGGCATAAAGAAACCTTTTGTAAAGCTCCAAGGAAGGGCTATCATAGGATACACTATTTAGCATTTGTCCAAAATCTGACTTAATATGCAGTTTACTGGTGAAGCACCCGAGTGCCAAGCCCAAGAATCCAGCACAGGCAGCTTTGCTCCAGAGCGTTCCGTGTGCTTCACTGCCTCACCCCACCACTGGCCCTGCAGAGTGCCTTTCTGGGCCAGTCCTTCCCACTGGCTGTGATTATTTACAAAGTATTTTCCTTTCTTTCAAAGTTAAATTGCTGTACCCCAGGCACAATTAGTAGTTTAGCTTTCACACTTTGAGTCCTCTGGCGTATTTGTTTTGAATTTGGCTTTGGCCATCCAGGAGCAGATTTCGTGGCCTGGGTGCCTCTAATCTACACCATGACCAGTATCCCCGCAGTTTCAGTTTCTTAGCCAGGTTAGATATTATTTCATAGTGTCAGCATTTGTTCTCTGTGATGAAAATATTTAATCCAGTCATTGCTCTGCTGCATTTCCATGCTTGTGCTTTGCTGTTTAAAATGTTGTTCTCTGCACCTATAGTCATTCTCTGACCAGGACATCTGGCCATGCTGTGCATTGACCTAGGACTTTTTTTTAACCAACATTTGAAACCTTTCCTTTTCATTTGTTCTACTAATTTTTCACGAAACAGAGAAGTGGCTTTTAATAGTTCCTCCCCTCCCCCAAATTGGCTGATGAGTTAAATAATATATTTGCTGTTTAAAATTCACACTATTGATTCAAAGAAAACATTGGTAGTAAGTTTTGGAATAGTTTTCAAAAAGCCTTCCCACTAACATAAAAGAAATAGTTCCTACAATGTTAATAATGTTAAATGTAAATCATAAGATATATGGGGGTCATCATTTACTCAGTTTTAATGATTTTTAAAAGTAATTTCTCAGAGTTCCTCCTAGATTTAAGTTACTTGAATGGACCTTAATAAAAGCTAACTCTGTACCTTTAAGAACATAGAACCCAGTCACTTTTTTTTTGTTCTCGGTTTTTTGGTTTGGTGGCTTTTTTGTTTGTTTTTTGCTACAGTAGGTTTTAGAGCTTCACTCGTTGATGTTGCATATTAATTGTATTTTGAGAACTATAGAGATCCCTCTGAAATATGAGCAGCCTCTCCTAAGAGTAAATATGCCAGTACAGCATGCATTAGCCTTGTACCCTATCACTGGCTTCTTTTTTTTTTTTTGCCCCTTTGGTCCTGCCGCACAGTTTGTGGGATCTTAGTTCACTGATCAGGGAGCAAAGCTGGGCACCAGCCAGGAGAGGGCCGAGTGCTCGCGCTGGACGCCAGGGAGGTCCCCGAGCAGTGGCGCGTACAGGGCAGAGTGGTCCCGAAGGGATTTCATTGTTTTCACCCTTCCCCTTTTCTGAAGGATGTGAGGTAATCACAGTGATGGGCATTTAACAAAAAAGACATAGAAAGTTGGAGATAATGTATTACTAGGTAATGTATATGTAAGAGATTTTACCCTGAGTTTCCCGATATCAGTAGCAAAATAATAAAAAGAAGGTAGGGCAGGACCAAAGGACCAATTTAATAAGTGACAGTGTTTACTTGCTCCCATTTTTTAAAATCAAAAGACCATGTTTTTTTTTTTCTGACTTTAGAATCTCAAAACAATTTCTCAAAGTAAATCAATGCTAAATCAATTCTAGACATATATAGGATTATATATGCAGTTAATAGTTCATATTGTTTAAAGAATTGAATTCAAACATAATCTGTTGGTTTAATCCACATTACTTTTTTTGGGGGAAAATGATTGTTGTGATTGAGATGGATTTTACTTGTTACAACATCTGCAAGAAGTAGCTTTTAAATTATAAACCTGAGTCTGAACCCAACCATCATTTTTGAGAGTGGTGGGAGCCAGCAAGTGAGGGATTCCCCACCTCCCAGGTCACACAGAGGCTCTTGTGTTCATCCCGAGGGAGCTCTCGGGACCTCCTCTTGGCTTCAGTCCACACTACTCTTGACCGACATGCCCGGATCCGAGCCTGCGTGATGCCCTGGAGGCGCCCAGCTCTGCTTGTGAGACAGACTGCCCCTGGGAGGTCCGGCTGGGTCTGAGGTCCGCAGGCTGAGACCAGCGTGCAGGAGCGGGGACCCTGTGAACCGCTGCCCTGTGAGCGCCTGCCCAGCCTGTGCTGCCCCCGGGAGTCTTTCCCGCGGGCCCTTCTCGCTCTCCGCAGTTCTGCCCTCTCTCCTGGCAGCTCCTCCCCGTCACCGCTGCTCAGGACTTGTCTTCCCCAAGGCCACATGCTTTCTCCCTCACCCTCTTCCCCTCAGACAGCGCTGTAGCGCCCCATCGTTCTCCGGGCGTCCTTAGAACGAGAATGGAAATACCGAGCAAGGCCAGACTACATGGCGAGAGCTCAGTCATCATCTCACCCCTGAAATGTGGGAAGAACAGGCTTTTCAGCAGAGAACAGTATTTATTGGGCATTTGCATGGCGATCCACAGCAAAGCAGTAACTCACCCTTTGATAGAGGTGTTAAGATATCATGAATGTAATTATATATGCACAGAGAATAAAAATCAGAAATTCCAAACATTAAAAGAAGATAAAGGGATGGTAAAATGCTGTTTATATGCTGCTAAGTCGCTTCAGTCATGTCTGACTCTGTGCGACCCCATAGACGGCAGCCCACCAGGCTCCTCTGTTCCTGGGATTCTCCAGGCAAGAACACTGGAGTGGGTTGCCATTTCCTTCTCCAGTTATATGCTGCCAATGATGTTCTAATGAGGAGAAGTTTGGTCATTAATACATTAGTTACATCAAACTATCTTTTTTTACCTAGGAAGTTTTGACTTTTATTAACTGATATATTAAATTATAGTAACATGAATTTGAATTTCTTTGATATTTCATTTAATATTAGGAATTGGTCTCAACCAGAGAAATTTCTGATCAATACATGAAACATTAAAAAAGCTTGTTTGAATTATAGTCAGGAATTTGTTACATGATATTTTCTAAAATATGAGATCAAAATTAAATGCATTTTAAGATAGAGGACAAACAGACAATGAGATAAAAGAATCTTTAGTGTCAGAGTTGCGCTCACCATCCTTAGCAGTTACTTTCAGTTTTAAAAACAAGAATGAGCAGCGGGGTTAGAGCCCTGCATCAAGGAGTTCGGGTGGGCAGACGCGGCTCCTGTGTTCTAGAATCAAGTTTAAGGACTGAGCGGGGAGCGAGAGCATTGTCTGCTACTTAATTCTTCACACTTATTTCTTTCATTTGGGCAGATCATCCCAAGAGCTGATTATAATTAGTCAATTAAATTAGAAATAAAATGTCATGCTTTTTGGCAGTCCCAACATTTAGAAGAAGGAATGATTAATACTCCTTTCAGGAAGTCTCAGACATTTATTTTATTCTCTTAGCTAGTAATACCGCTGGCTTTTGCATTCTAGTAACCTAAAAGAAAAATTGCCTCTCCATCCTCAAAAACACTTTTCTTTAGCCATCCTCAAAAACACTTTTATTCAGCCACACTGTTACCTATCAAATGCAAATTTAAAATTTCCTTTTATTCCCTTTGAGTCTGGATCTAACCTCAGAAGGGGGCTGTCTTCAGAATACATACTTTCTGAGGGTAGTGGATTCAGAGTAACTGTAAATTGAAAAGTGTAATTTCAGCAATGCATTGTATAAAATTTACTTTGAAGGAAAAAGTATTTCTTTTCTAATATGCTAATGAATGTTAATAGTTTTATATAGTACATTTACAGGCAGATTGTTAAATGCTAATTAAGGCTCTTCTATTCTGTTTGATAGTGTTAGTTGATTCCCAGTAATGTTTGGTTTGTCCCTACAAATTGCTGAAATGCCAAGGTTGTCTTCATGAATTAGGAATGGCTTTTTGTTTTAATTATTTCTATTTTAAATTTTAAGAAAGGGAGAAAAAGATTCTGGTGATGTTTTTCCTAAAATATTCTTATCAGTATTTTGGGTGTATATTAGATTTTTTAAGGTTTGACTGTTTGAGTTTAGGATTCTAGATTTTTTTAAAAATCTAATACTTTCCCTCTTCTGAAAATAAGGGGTTTTTTTTGTATATTTACTTCTAAATATACAAATGTGCATGCACGCACACACACCCCACACACGTGTATGTGAGAGAGAGGTGGAGAGAAGAGGGGCAGAGAGACAGAGGGAGGGTGGAGATATTAATTTTGAATAACAAGCCATTTATAGATATATGTATGCCTTTACTTCTGCAGGCTGGACTATTAAGCAGTTGTCATTGGATAGATCATTCAAAGGTCAGGAAGTCTGCAGATTACTATTTTGCAGTGAGTCTCTTTTTCCTCCACCTTACCAAAAATCTTCTTTCTCAGTGTTCTAACTGATTTATTCATAGAACCATGTAGAAATTAATTCTTTATGATAGATATCAGATCTCCCAAAACCACCATCAAGTTAAAGATTCACTAGAAGGATTCACAGCACTCAGCATATGGTTGAACTCACAGCTAAGATCTGTTATAGCAAAAAGATGCCAAACAAAACCAGCAAAGGGAAAAGGCCCATGGGGGCAAGTCCAGAGGAGATCAGGCCCAAGTCTCCCAAGTCCTTTGCTGATAGAGTCACCCAGGACATATTTAATTCCTCCTACAACAAATTGTGAGAGCCTGTATGAAATGTTGTCTACCAGGGAAGCTCGTTTGGAGGCTGATTATGTAGCCGCCCTCTGTGTAGCTTGGTACTAAAATTCCAAACTCCTGGAAGAAAAGCAGATGTTTAGCGTAAACCATATTGTTTGCACAAGCAGTTTAGAAGCACTGTGACCCACTCTTGCTGGTTAGATTGGTAGGAGCATTCTCAAAATTCAAGTTCCCCAGATGGCAGCCAAGAACTAACCTTGCAGACAACACATTTTAAGGATAGCAGTTTCTAGACCAGCTGTGTTATTAACTCTTTTCAGAGTTGGACACAACTTAGCGACTAAACAACCACCACCTTTATTTGAAAGCACTTACTTGCTCGCTTTTGCGATCCCAGTAATCAACATGAGCCAGCTATGAAAGATGAGACCTTTTTAGCTTGAAGTAAGTGTTTAATACCCTGTTCCTTTTGTTAGTAGTATCCAGTGGGTGTGAGCCACATTGTTGTTTAGTCTCTAAGTCATGTCGGTCTCTCTACAACCCCATGGACTGTAACCCGCCAGGTTCCTCTGTCCATGGGATTTCCCAAGCAAGAAGACTAGAGCAGGTTGCCTTTCACTTCTCCAGGAAATCTTCCCAACCCAGGATTTGAACCTGCATCTCCAGCATTAGCAGGTGGATTCTTTACCATCAAGCCACCTGGGAAGCCATAAGCCACATTATGCTTGTCCTAAAGTATTCTCCAGCAATAAAATCACTTTTTCTACCTAAGTGCTGCTACCATGATATTTTAAGAGTATGTAAGGGGTTAGAGGTCTTATATTTTTTGGTAGTTTATTTGCCAATTTTTTTTTTATATCATGCTACTTTAATAGCTTGCTGGAAAAAATATGAGGATAGTAAATTTAGTGCTCATGTTTCACCCTGGAAGTGAGTTGCAACTTGTAAGTAAAATCTTTATCATCCATCATGCATCACTTCAATATTACTTGAGCTATATTGTTGATATTTTTATGTCAGTTATCAACCTTGTATTTTAGAGACTGGAATATGATTCTGTGAACACAAAATCCTAGCACTGGAAGAGCCCTTAACAAGCCATCCGCCTGCATTCCCATCACTGGGTGGGGCAGAGCTGAGCCAGCCAGGACAGATCGTGCAAAAGCACGCTGAAGTGAATGCTTCCCACGGTTCTCGGGAGCCCAAGTTGGAGTATAATTAAGCTAACTGTCCCAAAGGTCTTCCTATATCACCTGTTTGGTTTTTGTTTGTTTGTTTTTTTTTCCTGGGCTTTGCAGATTTAGAGAAGAGTTTAAAATGTTTTTCATTAAAATAACTGCGAAATCATCCTTTGGCTTTTTCTTTCCCAGATTGAACTAATCTATTCAGCCTTTTCTCAGAGAAGTTGCAGCAATAATAATTTCATATTTTTTTTAAGAAGAAATGCTAGCTTAGTCTAAACAAGGCATTCTTGACCTAGCAGTATGTGAACTTGGATCAGAAGAAAAAAATTACGCATTATTTTCATTAACCTCAATCAGAAATTTAATGTTTTCCTCTGTTACTATATCACAGATATTTTTAAATATTTTGAACATTTATATTTCAGTGTGGTTATTTCCTGTATTGTATAATCTTGTGTATTTCACTTTATGCATTTTGAGAAGGGGTTGGTAGGGCTCACTAAGGATCCATAGCAAAAAAAGAAGAAGAAAAGGTCACACTCGTGAGAAGGGCACTTACGTAACCTTTAAATAAATTCTCAAGATTGTTTTGTTTTCTTCTTTTTTGTTTTGAAGATAACAGTGACTCGTAGTGTACTTCATCTAATGTACTATGGTGCCTTTAGGTTTATGTGCAAGTTAATAAAGAAGCAGCGGATGATAAGAACGTAGCAAAATCAGCACATGAATTCTTCCAGCGACTGGAGCTCGGCGACGTGCAGGCACTTGCACTGTGGCAGAAGTTTCGGGACCTGAGCATCGAGGAGTACGTGCGGATCTACAAGGTGCCCGCTCTCTCCCACTGCCCGCTCATGCGACAGAGCGCTTAGCTGGCGCTCCTGGCTGCAGAGCTTGCTTCTGAAGCTCAGATTTGTTGTCTGTCACTGAGCTGGTAGTTGGGACTCACATCCTGTTCTCTGGGCTGAAAGTTAGGGCTAAGAAATAAATTTAAAGAATGAACTTCACAGGCTGAATGTGAAGTGATGTCCTGATGCTTGGCTTCAGTCTGGCATTTCTTTTCCTCTGTCGTCCCTTCGCTTTTTCCTAACCATTGTTTCTTCTCTTGCTTCCTTAGGCATATATGTGGTGGCTATAAATTTGTTGATCTAGTAACATGTTGGGAATGGGAGAAATAACAACAGTTAGTAGAAGACATACATAAATTCTTTTCTCATGGACTTTACATTCTAACATGGACACAGCAAATTAAACAAATTCAAGGCAGTACAGATTAAACAAGAACGTGACAGTGTGTTCAGTGGTGATGCGTGCGTGGAGAAAAGTGAAACAGAGGAGGGAGGATCAGGTGGGCCACCTGAGCAGGGTTTCAGCAAAGAACCCACATGGCTGGAGTCAGGACCGAGGTGAAGGACAGTGGGAGCAGGGCCCAGGGTCGTAGGGTAGGGCGGGAGACGGGACGTGTTCAGGCCTGTCCAGGCGAGGTGAAGGACAGCGGGAGCAGGGCCCGGGGTCGTAGGGTAGGGCGGGAGACGGGACGTGTTCAGGCCTGTCCAGGCGAGGTGAAGGACAGCGGGAGCAGGGCCCAGGGTCGTAGGGTAGGGCGGGAGACGGGACGTGTTCAGGCCTGTCCAGGCGAGGTGAAGGACAGCGGGAGCAGGGCCCGGGGTCGTAGGGTAGGGCGGGAGACGGGACGTGTTCAGGCCTGTCCAGGCGAGGTGAAGGACAGCGGGAGCAGGGTCCGGGGTCGTAGGGTAGGGCGGGAGACGGGACGTGTTCAGGCCTGTCCAGGCGAGGTGAAGGACAGCGGGAGCAGGGCCCGGGGTCGTAGGGTAGGGCGGGAGACGGGACGTGTTCAGGCCTGTCCAGTGCAAATGCCCACACCTGTGCTGTCCAACATGGCGGCCTCCTGCTGCGTGTGGCCGTTGAGTGCTTCCAAGGGCTCACACTTTGGTGTGAGTAGTGTGACTGAGAACTAAATATTCACTTTTCTTTCATGTGCATTTGAATAACCACAGGTGCCTAGCAGCTCCCCTACGGGACAGCACAGTACCACTGCTGGGGGCTTGACTGGTACAGGAGGGGGGCCACGAGAAGGGCGGGGCGCCAGAGTGACTTGATTTAATTCTTATTTTCCCCATCTGTGTGACAGACTGGAGCACCCTATTTTATCTTAGGGTAAGATAATAGGACTTGTAAGTAACTCTTTTTCCTTTTGTTTCTGAACCCTCTTAGCGTCTAGGAGTACACTTTGATGAATATTCAGGAGAATCGTTTTATCGTGAAAAATCTCAAGAAGTCTTGAAGTTGTTGGACAGTAAAGGACTCCTGCAGAAAACACTGTATGATCAGGTTTCTGTTCTCTAGAAAGTTCTTTGTATTCTTTGAAGTTAGTATTGATGTATTCTCTCAGTAAAGACTGCAGTTTGTGTGCGGCCTTCCTGGCATTTTTATGCTTTCTGCCGTTCAGACTAGTTTCCCACATGCTGTTTTGTGCTGCCTTAGCAAAATCCTGGTAAGCTTGGGAGGAAGACTGTTATCTTGTCTTCACATACGAGGAAGCAAGCCCAGAAAGTGTAAAGTGATCTAAGCTCACACAAACTGATAATGGTGTAACTGGAATAGGGAAATAGAAATCTTTCATACTCAACCCTGCCTCTTTAAAAAGATCCCATCCTGTTCTAACGGATTTAAAACAGCTTCTGAAAATAGCTATAATACAACCCAAAGCTTTTGAAAGAGTAAAATGAGGAAATCAAGAAGCAGGAGCAGAAAAAATAATAGGAAGTCAGGAATGATATTAGTACATCATGAGACACACACTGGGATTCCGCTTCTTTGCTTACCATAGGTTCCTAATTTAGTTTTGAGCTCATCAGCCAGAGAAGTGGTACCTTCATAGGAGCCCCGGAGTGTGTAACACAGAAGCAAACCAGTTGCTTAGATGTACCATTTTTCATAGCACCAAAGAGCAGCTTCTCTCAGCATCCTCTTAAGAAAGACAAGAGGATATGGTTCACAGCATCCTCAATAGTGTCCTTAATGAAAATTTTTAGATCGCCATATACAGATTCTAATTTTTGATTGGGCAGGAAAGACAGTAACAAAATTTGGTTATTTTATTACTCATAGTTACTCCTGCATGTTAAAGACTAACCCAATATTGAATGTTACAATAACTTGGATTTGAAGAACATGTTTCATGGTTACACTGTAGTTGAAATCTTGTTTTCAACTCAGTATGTTAAACAGTTTAGTTACCTCATCCAAAGCTACATAATTTAAAAAGATAAGTAAATATTAAACCAAATACCTACTCTTAATAGTCATTCAAGTGCAGATTGCCTCCTGTTTTTCTTCATTGTTGGTTATACTGCTTATTGCTACCTAAGGAATAAAAATAGCTTCCGGTTTGCCAAAGATAAGATACTGTATTGTTAAAGGTCTTAATTCATTATGTTGTTTCAGACTTACCTTTTTTTGCATTTTCTAGAAAAGGCACTGCTGTAGTAGATCTTTCAGGGAATGGTGACCCCTCTGCACTTTGTACTGTAATGCGAAGTGATGGGACGTCTCTGTATGTAACCAGGTTTGTGTCTTACATGAAGCTCATCATTAGAACATATGATCTCATGTTCTTTGTTCTAGGATTAATGTAAGACAAACCATTTCATTCTCAAAACTGTTATCAAATCCTACTTTCTTAAAATCTCTTGTTTTCATTACTCAAGATATATTTATTGAGTTTATTTTTATTGCCATTTATAGTTCCTGGAAAAGTTTAATATCATCAGAAAAGTAAGTGGAAAACTGTTTATCATTAAACATCATAAGACTTCCAGAGACGAACACACTGTTCTACAGACTATAAATTGAAGTGCGTTGTTGCCAACTGTAAATATTTCACATGTGCACATTGCCAGACAGTGTATGCCACCAGGGGCTCATGTTGGCTCGGTGGCATCGTCACTCTGTAAGACCACTGAACAGGCACGTCAGTGCCAGCCCTCCTTCTGATTTGTGTAAAATGGGCCACGGGAGAAGTAGGCCATGTCGCCTACATTTTGTCATCTCTCTCCAAGAGGAGCAGTCTTTATTTATCCATCTCCCCTGGTGGCTCAGGTGGTAAAGAATCTGCCTGCATCGCGGGAGACCTGGGTTCAATCCCTGGGTCGGGAAGATCCCCTGGAGGAGGGCATGCCAACCCACTCCGGTGTTCTATCCTGGAGAATCCCCGTGGACAGAGGAGCTTAGCAGGCTACAGTCCACGGGGTCGCAAACAGTCGGATATATATGACTGAGTGACCAGGGACAGCACAGGTTTATCAAGCACCCTTATTTCTGGGACAAAGCTAATAGGAAGGAGAAGACAGGAGAATAAAAAAGCCACACAAGCAAAACACAGCCAAACTCGAGCACTGCTGACGGAGGTTCCAGTGTCTCCCATCCTAAAGTCTCAGATGGCAAACCACTTCGGTAGCATAAAGTCATGATGCTTTGTTGTTGTTGTTAACTACCATCATTTTTTTCCCAGACAACTATAAACACCATCCAGTATCTCACTGTCCCTTAGAAAATTATTTTCTATTACTTTTTGGCATTTTCTTTTATCAGTTCCATATAATTGGACTTAGGCACTTATATATCTAAGAGTTACATTTCTTTTTCTAGATACAAAGATATACAGTAGAAACTTTTTTTTCTAATAAATGCTAGCCAATTATTGCTGGACAGATTAAATAAACCTTTGAGTGGTTGTTATAAGGAATGTATTTACTCAGAAGTAACAGGGAATTAAATCTGTGATCTTGTAATAAGCTATCAGTTCAGTTCAGTTGCTCAGTTGTGTCCAGCTCTCTGCGACCCCATGGACTGCAGCATGCCAGGCCTCCCTGTCCATCATCAACTCCCGGAGTTTACTCAAATTCATGTCCATTGAGTCAGTGATGCCATCCAACCATCTCATCCTCTGTCACCCCCTTCTCCTCCCACCCTCAGTCTTTCCCAGCATCAGGATCTTATCAAATGAGTCAGTTCTTTGCATCAGGGGGCCAAAGTATTAGAGTTTCAGCATCAGCATCAGTACTTTCAATGAGTACTCAGGACTGATTTCCTTTAGGATGGACTGGTTGGATCTCCTTGCAGTCCAAGAGACTCTCAAGAGTCTTCTTCAACACCACAGTTCCAAAGCATCAATTCTTCGGTGCTCAGCTTTCTTTATAGTCCAACTCTCACATCCATACATGACCACTGGAAAAACCATAGCCTTGACTGGACGGACCTTTGTTGGCCAAGTAATGTCTTTGCTTTTTAATAAGCTGTCTAGGTTGGTCATAACTTTTCTTCCAATGAGTAAGTGACTTTTAATTTCATGGCTGTAGTCACCATCTGCAGTGATTTAGGAGCCCCCAAAAATAAAGTTTTTCACTGTTTCTCCATCTATTTGCCATGAAGTGATAGGGCCGGATGCCATGATCTTTGTTTTCAAATGTTGAGTTTTAAGCCAACTTTTTCACTCTCCTCTTTCATGAAGAGGCTCTTTAGTTCTTCTTCACTTTCTGCCATAAGGGTGGTGTCATCTGTGTATCTGAGGTTACTAATATTTCTCCCTGCAATCTTGATTTCAACTTGTGCTTCATCCAGCCCAGCGTTTCTCATGGTGTACTCTGCATAAAAGTTAAATAAACATGATAACAATATACAGCCTTGACATACTCCTTTTCCTGTTTGGAACCAGTCTGTTGTTCATGTCCAGTTCTAACTATTGCTTCCTGACCTGCATACTGATTTCTCAAGAGTTAGGTCAGGTGGTCTGGTATTCACATTTCTTTCAGAATTTTCCACAGTTTATGTGATCCACACAGTCAAAGGCTTTGGCATAGTCAATAAAGCGGAAATAGATATTTTTCTGGAACTCTCTTGTGTTTTTGATGATCCAGCGGATGTTGGCAATTTGGTTTCTGGTTCCTCTGCCTTTTCTAAAACCAGCTTGAACATCTGGACATTCACGGTTCATGTATTGTTGAAGCCTGGTTTGGAGAATTTTGAGCATTACTTCACTAGCATGTGAGGTGAGTGCAGTTGTGCGGTAGTTTGAGCATTCTTTGGCATTACCTTTCTTTGGGATTGGAATGAAAACTGACCTTTTCCAGTCCTGTGGCCACTGTTGAGTTTTCCAATTTTGCAGGCATATTGAGTGCAGCACTTTCATAGCATCAGCTTTTAGGATTTGAAATAGCTTAACTGGAATTCCATCACCTCCACTAGCTTTGTTCATAGTGATGCTTCCTAAGGCCCACTTGACTTCACTTTCCAGGATGTCTGGCTCTAGGTGAGTGATCACACCATCATGATTATCTGGATCATGAAGATCTTTTTCGTACAGTTCTTCTGTGTATTCTTGCCACCTCTTCTTAATATCTCTGCTTCTGTTAGGGCTATACCATTTCTGTCCTTTATTGAGCCCATCCTTACGTGAAATGTTCCCTTGGTATATCGAATTTTCTTGAAGAGATCTCTAGTCTTTCCCATTCTATTGTTTTCCTCTATTTCTTTGCATTGATCACTGGGGAAGGCTTTCTTATCTCTCCTTGCTATTCTTTGGAATTCTGCATTCAAATGGGTATATCTTTGCTTTTTGCTTCTCTTTTCATAGCTATTTGTAAGGCCTCCTCAGACAACCATTTTGCCTTTTTGCATTTCTTTTCCATGGGGATGGTCTTGATCCCTGTCTCCTGTACAATGTCACGAACCTCTGTCCATAGTTCATCAGGCACTCTATCAGATCTAGTCCCTTAAATCTATCCACTGTATAGTCATGAGAGGTTTGATATAGGTCATACGTGAATAGTCTAGTGGTTTTCCCCACTTTCTTCAATTTAAGTCTGAATTTGGCAATAAGGAGATCATGATCTGAGCCACACTCAGCTCTTGGTCTTGTTTTTGCTGACTGTATAGAACTTCTCCATCTTTGGCTGCATAATCAGTCTGATTTTGGTGTTGACCACCTGGTGATGTCCATGTGTAGAGTCTTCTCTTGTGTTGTTGGAAGAGGGTGTTTGCTATGACCAGTGCGTTCTCTTGGCAAAACTCTGTTAGCCTTTGCCCTGTTTCATTCCATACTCCAAGGCCAAATTTGCCTATTACTCCAGGTGTTTCTTGACTTCCTACTTTTGCATTCCAGTCCCCTATAACGAAAAGAATATCTTTTTTGGGTGTTGGTTCTAAATGGTCTTGTAGGTTTTCATAGAACCATTCAACTTCAGCTTCTTCAGCGTTTCTGGTCTAGGCAGAGACTTGGATTACCGTGATATTGAATGGTTTGCCTTGGAAACGAACAGAGATCATTCTGTCACTTTTGAGATTGCATCCAAGTACTGCATTTCGGACCCTATTGTTGTCTATGATGGCTACTCCATTTCTTCTAAGGGATTCCTCCCCACAGTCGTAGATACAGTGGTCATTTGAGTTAAATTCTCACTCATTCCGGTCCACTTTAGTTCACTGATTCCTAAAATGTTGATGTTCACTCTTGCCATCTTCTGTTTGACCACTTCCAATTTGCCTTGATTCATGGACCTAACATTCCAGGTTCCTATGCAGTGTTGCTCTTTACAGCATCGGACCTTGCTTCTATCACCAGTCACATCCACAGCTGGGTGTTGTTTTTGCTTTGGCTCCATCTCTTCATTCTTTCTGGAGTTGTTTCTCCACTGATCTGGACTATGAATTCTTCACAATACTGAATTGCTATGCTGTACATCTGAAACTAATACAATATTGCAAGTCCACTAGACTCAAATAAAAAAGAAACAAATGTGTCCACTCAGAATGGAGACTCTGTAACTATTCTTATCTGATATCTTTTGCAGAGCTATCATTAGGTCCAGATTTTTCTGTCTATTTACCTTAATACCTGTACTTTTCACTTTTTCTTTGGGAGAATAACTGTCTTTTTGCCAGGTGTAGAAATGTTTGATCTTTCACCTTGCTCTAATTTCAGTTGTGTCTGCCCCTTTGATGGTTTGCTTATAGAATAAAACTGTGTGTGTGCATGTGAGTTAAAGGAATTGTTATAGCAGACAGACGAAAGTACAGGATGAGACTCGAGACCTGCATTTCTGTTCTGAGACCGTGATCATCAGTCACTTAACTTCTCTGGGCCACGATTCCTTGCTTGGTGAACAGAGACCTGAGCTTAGTGACCTGGCATCTCTTTCAGCTTTCAAATCAGATTCCACAAACTCAGCCTAGGACTATTTCTTACATTCATCTCTGTTTTTCATTAGATCAAAAAGTTTCTCTTCATTTTTGTCCTTGGGTCAAATAGAAAAATATAATGGAGGTGTATATTTATGACTTCATTTTTGGGATAATCTATATCTGTGTTTTACAACCATCTTTTATTGTAACACTTCTCAAGAGCCTTTTTAGCCATATTTTTCTTTGTGCCCACTCTCGTGAAATTTTATCACCACATATTTGTCTGGATTATATACATATGTGTTTTATACATATGTATGAATTTTTTTTGGCCCCTCACAATACAGTTTTTGCCTCCATTCAGAATTCATGCTCTATTATATCAGGAGCATAAGGTGAGTACAAATGGCATATTGATGACGCAACATTTCAAAAGACCTAGGAACTTTTATTAATTTTTTTTCTTGCAGTTTACTGAGATACAATTGGCATATAGCACTGTGTAAGTTAGGTGTACAGCCTAATGACTTACTTATATACATCATGAACTGTTTATCAGAGTAGACCTAGTGAACATCCGTCATTTCACGTAGATAACAAAAGTAAAGAAATAGGAAAATTTTTTTCCTTGTGACAAGAACTGTTAGGATTTACTCTTAACAACTTCATTATGTAAAATATGGCAGTGTGAGTTTATCATTTGTACATCATATAAATTTATCTTTTACCTGTGAGTTTATACCTTTTGACTACCATTACCCAATTCTAACCCACCATCCCTTCCCTCTGAAATTCTACAAATCTAATCTCTTTTTCTGTGAGTTTGTTTTTTAATTATAACTGACCTATCACACTGTTAGTTCCCAGTTCACAGCAATGTAAGTGATTTTGTTTTTCTACATATTCAAAATGATCACCGTGGTAAGTCTAGATACAATATGTCATCATACAAGATATTACTTAATTATTGACTGTATTCCCCATAAGGTAATTAGAGTAACTTTTAAGTTCAATATTTAAATATAATGTTTACTTAAAATTTCATAGTTTATGGGTTTGTTACTTTTAATATTTCATACTGTGTGCAAACTGGATACTTAACCAGAGATAAGTAGAATTTTAGTCAAAAGAATTTATGGTATTTTTCAAATACTTTAGAAAATATTGCTTATGAGTGATCCGAGGCTTTGGAAGAGTAGCTGGAAAGCACCTGTTCAGGTGTTGCATCCCCTCTGCTTTAAGTATGTTCTCTAGGAAAGCACATCGCGGAAAAGTGACAGGAAGGCGATTCTTTCCAGTAAAGGCTTAGCAAATCGTAAAGCGTTTACCTACAAACACTTTGCCTTTAGTTATTTAGAGCTATTTAGTTATTATTACTACTTGTCCTAGAGCTTTTATTTATTTTTGATCTTTGCACAGCACTTTCATAATTCTTTTCCCAAAGCTGGTTTTATTGTTATTGCTTTGCAGCTAAGCATGGTATTGGGATTATAGAAGCATGGGTACTATACCTGAGGCTGAGGAATAACAGTAGCGCTTAATTAGAAAAGTTTCATTACTGTTAGATAGGTGAAGCAAATTATTACCCAGATCTGCGTAGTAAGTTAATCTATGGCCTTTTTTTTTTCAGAGATCTTGCAGCTGCTATAGATCGAATGGAAAAGTATAATTTTGATACAATGATCTATGTGGTAAGTAATCACAATAAAAAAACAAAAGGTTATGATGCCTGCCTCATGAAAACTGCAGAGATAGAAACTGAAAGCCCTGTTGAAAAACTATGCAAAAATAATTTGTCAAACTATAGAAGAATTCAGTGGTGTGTTTACGGTGGCAACCACTATGTTTTAAAAAAAAACTTTAAAAATGAAAGTGTTCACATTGCTTCATATTAAAAGAAAGTTACACAAAAGAATGGTTATGTGTAATGAATATATATGTGTCATAATGCATTTTTTAAAACTAACATTTTATTTTAAATATTTTAGGACTCACAAGTTTCAGAATAGTAGTTTCCATATTACCTTCAGTCTTCGTCAAAGATAATATCTTATAAACGATGATACTTTGTCGACACCAGGAAACTAACATTGGTAGACACCCTGATTAAATTTCACCAATACTTACAGACACTTGTGTTAGGGCCTGGATTGTGGAAGGATGGGGGGATGGTTATGAAATTTTATCACATGTATATTCAGGTAACCTTCACCACATTCATAATACAGAACTGTGCCATCACAAAACAACTTGTTCTGTGGCAGCCCCTTAGTAATCATGCCTTCCCCCGACCCTCACCCTGGCAGCCACTGCCCTGTTCTTCACCGTACAGTTTTGTCACTTTGAGGATGTACTGTAAATGGATTCACACTAGGTAACCTTTTGAGATTGGCTGTTTTCACCCAGTATAATGAATGCCCTTGAGATCCGCCCAAACTATTGCATATGTCAGTGGTTTGTTCCTTTTATGCTGAATAATATTCTAGTCTCCGCTTCCCTTCCTTTCTTTCCATGTGAAACTTTCGTTTCTCCTAAGGGGGGGAAATTGCTATTGAATATCTCTTTAGTGCTTAGTTTGGCCTTCTTGGAGATAAGGGTCACCGTGGCTGAGAGAGGAGTGATTCAGGTGGAATATTCAGTGGGGCGCTGCAGCCCTCCCTGCTCTTGCAGAGCGCTCTGCTTAGACATTCGTCCAGTGACATCCTCTTCATATGTGTATTTAAAACTGATCTGCTGCTAATGACTCCAGTCTGTCAAAACTCAAATATTTTAGTATGATTTATGTCCAACATATTATAGATTTAATGGGCTTCCCTGGTGACCCAGTCGTAAAGAATCTGCCTGCCAGTGCCAGAGACATGAGTTTGATTCTTTAGGTCTGCAAGATCAACTGGAGAAGGAAATGGCAACCTACTCCAGTATCTTGCCTGGGAAATCCCACGGACAGAGGACCATGGTAGGCTACAGTTCATGGGGCCACAAAGAGTTGGACACAACTTAGCGGCTAAACAACAACACTGTAGATTTAACTTATCACTGTTCTTTCATTTAAATACACTTTTTTTTCTCAAGACAGATAAAGGGCAAAAAAAGCATTTTCAGCAAGTGTTCCAAATGCTGCAGATCATGGGATATGACTGGGCAGACAGGTACAATCTGCATGATTCTAAAGTACCTTCTCAAGGGCATTCAACTGTTGGTAGATCAGCCATGTCCAAAAATGTACCAGGTTGTTAGATTTTCATTCAAACTTTACTTGTTTCAAGCTGTTAGTGTGGAAAAACATTTGTTCTTTACACTTAGTTTTATTATTGCATGGTTATATTGATTTCTATCTTCTAAACATTTAATAAATGGTTTTATTAGATAACTGCTCTCAATGGCTTGATTTTCAAAATGCTTAATTCCGATCTCCTTTTTTTCATAAAGGCAACTAAAAATCTAATCATATCCTGTGACTGTGAAATGAGGCTGTGTGTTTAACATCTTCTGTGTGGTGTTCTAGCACACAACACATCACAGCATGTTTCACTTTTTATTGATTACAGGAGTTAAAAGTTCAAACTGTTCTCTATAAACGTCTTGTTGCATACTTTGATCAGCAGCTCCTTCAGTTTTCAGTGAATTAAATGCCTGCTGCTCCATTTCAGGTGCCAGCACGTGCCCTTTGGGGTAGTGCAGGGAATGAAAACTCGGAGAGGAGATGTTACTTTCCTGGAAGATGTTCTAAATGAGATTCGATTGAGGATGCTACAGAACATGGCTTCTGTTAAGAGTAAACTCATTGTTTTGTCACAGGCGTAACTTGCGTCCGCTCTCATGTTTTGCTGACCTCTTGTGCAGTGCGATTTATTCTGACCATCCCTCCTTGGGACTTTCACTCACCTGGTCAAAAATAGCTTCACTAATTGAGGGCTCCAGGGTTTGGTGCTTGCTGCTCGGCTCTGGCTTGCTTCAGTAGTGTGATCGACACAGCCCGAGCCTCTCTGCCCAGGCAGCTCCAGCGCCGTCACGCCACAGCTGGAGTGGTCGTGCAGAGCTCCTGCATTCCACACCTGAAGCAAGTCGCAGGCCTCATGGCTTTGTGTAAGCTTCACGCTTGGAAGAAGAAGTGAGAGAAGTAAAGAAGTCTCATGTCTTACATGGGATGTTTGTAAGAAAAATCATGTCTCTTCCCTTTTAATGAAGGCTGGGGAAACATCATTATTGAAGTTAAGTCTGCCCAGATTAGGAGAGTGGAGTGCCCACCGTGCCCCTGTTTGCTCCTGGTGCTGTCCGCATACGTTTAGGCGGGTTTCCCCAGGTGCGCTAGTGGGAACGAGCCCGCCTGCCATTATAAGAGACAGAGGTTTGATCCCTGGGTTGGGAAGATCCCCTGGAGAAGGGAATGGCTACTCGACCCAGTCAGTATTCTTGCCTGGAGAACCCCATGGGCAGAGGAGCCTGGTGGGCTATGACTGAAGAGTCGGACACGACTGAAGCAACTTAGCACACAGCACGTCTGCATTTCAACCCTGGCTTTTGTCCAGTTTCACGCAAGGTGACAGGTGACCTCTGTCTGTTTCAGCGACCAGAGAGCTGGAGAGCCCCCAGGAGACGGCAGAGCAGGTGGGGCTCGCAGCCCTCATCATTCAGGTCTGTGGGGGCTGCTTCCGGGGGGGAGCCTTTGATTCGGTGCTGCGACGCCGCCGCGTGCTGAAGGCTTCCTGTCGTTTTAGGACTTCAGAGGGTCCCTGCTGTCGGACTACCAGTTCAGCTGGGACCGTGTCTTCCAGAGCCGCGGGGACACGGGAGTCTTCCTGCAGTACACACACGCCCGCCTCCACAGGTGACAGGGGCTGCGGGGAAGCACAGGATGGCTCTGGCCTTCTCAGGGTGAGGCCTGGGTGGCGTGATTCCAGGACCAAAGGCTCTGGTTTCTGCACTTCTCCCACGTCTGACATTCAAAGCTAGGTGAAGTCTGGTGGACTCCTGTTGTGTTTGGATCTTGAGAGGTTTTTTGAACATTTATTTATTGCACACCTATGTAACAATGCTTTTCTGTGTATTACCTTACTTAGCACTCAGAATAATCCCGCCAAGGAGTATACTCCATTTTCAGATGAAGAAGCAGATTTAGGAAGAATCGAGGCATCGAGTCAAACAATGTCAGCCGCCGAGTCTAGGACTAGATTAGGGAGACTGAGAGTACGCATGCTGGGGTGATGTTCCTTACTTGCAGTTACTCGTACCCCAGCTGACTTGCTTAATCCTTTGTTGTGTTTAAACTTCTGACAACAGTCTGGAAGAGACTTTTGGATGCGGCTATCTCAATGACTTCAACACTGCCTGCTTACAAGAGCCGCAGTCTGTTTCCATTCTCCAGCATCTTCTCAGGTATGGGGTCCTCACAAGGTCGTCTGCTGCTGCCCCGTGAGGGACTGTCGTCATCTGCTGACCACTGAAGTGAACAGGCCAGAGACCGCAGACAGCCCTTCTCCAAAGATGTGACCAAAGAGTGCACGCCTGCCTTTAGAGAGCAGACGGAGGGCATGCTCACAGCTAATCCTGAGGCTTTAAACAGAGCATCACCGTTGAATCAGCCCAGTTGCCTAACATCCCTTAGATCACAGTATGAGAACGTAAAGGCTGGTGAAAGCATAACCTTTTACGTTTCAGAAACGATCATCACCTCACCCTCTGTGATGAGTGGAGGCAGGTCCCTGTCCTTGTGCACCTTCCCTGAGACCATAAGCCTTTCATTTCTTGGCTCCAGTGAGGCCTCAGATAGCGGGGGCAGGGGACCATGCTTCTGCGCCGCACCGGCATCATCGGCGAAGCTGTACTTGTCCGGAGAGACTGATGGCCTCGGGGAGATCTGGAAGGGATGTGGATGCTTAGCGTCAAGGGCGTCTTCTCTTTCTGCCGCACAGTGGTCTGCGGTTCTCTCCTGGGAAGACGGGCTGGTTCACTTACATTTGGCTTGCTTTTGAGGAAAAACATAAGCCAACCTGGTTTTCTTGGCAGTGAATAGACTCTGCTTGATTATGTTCCTAAACATGGCTGGAGATTGTGTACATTTAACAGCTGTGATTTAAGTCCTTGCTTTACGCTGGGCCTACAGGATTTCAAGATAATTTAAAAAGTGCCTGCCATGCAGGAATTTGCAAGAAAGAAAAATGTGCCTTCACCTTCCAATGTACACAGGGTTGCTTTCATATGTCTAATACCGCTAATGATATCAAGGCAACCTTTCACCCTCTTTGTCTTAGCATCTTAGCTGAGTGTAATACATCCCCAGCCTTCCCCTGCCACCAACTCCTCTCATCTTTCTTTTAGGTTCGACGAGGTGCTTTATAGGTCATCTCAAGACCTTCAGCCCAGGCACATTGTCAACTACCTTCTAACTCTAAGGTACTTTATAAACTTGCTATTTTCAGGCATTAAGTGTTTGAGACCTGATATGACAAAGGACCTTTCTTTCATTTAAAGGCTTCCCATAGACAGATCTGTCGCCTAAACAGTTACACTTTAGGTCCCAGGGCTTCTCACCTCCTCTTTGCACGTTAGCAGTTAATGTCCATTCATTCACTCAGTGATTGAAGGTCCTGTCACTGTTGTCCAGTGAACGGGAACCAACAGCTACATCGTGGACGGGCACAGTAGAGTGCATGTTAGGACAGCGTGGACATGAGGGGCGACGTTAGGGCTCTCAGCCAGCCTCGAGGGATCAGAGAGGACTTCTCAGAGGAGGGGCGTCGATGCGAGTCAGGAGGAACGCGGGGGCAGAGAAGGAAAAGCCCAGAGCCGAGCGAGAACGTGATGCGTGAAGAGCACTGCAAAGGCAGCTCCGGGAGAAGCGAGAAACCACATGCCGCCTCCCGCTGCGCCCTGAAGCTTCCGGCTCACGCTCGGCACAGTGAGGGCCGTGAGAAAGTTCTGAGCAGCAGCACAGGAAAGTCAGTCTGGCAGAGGGTAGAGGATGAATTGGAAAGCGAGTAGGTGACCCTTGGATAGAAGTTTCACAGTGCTGGTTTTAGAAACTCTAGATAGAGGTTGACTCCTATAGCAACAAAGTTGTATCTTCTCATAAAGCTATTTAAGAAAGGAAGTATTTGCTTTCACTCAAGATTTATTGAAATCAGATTTACTGGGACTTTTTTCTTGACCATGCTTTCTACCTGTCTTCCCCGGATTTACAGATTTTTGTTTTCTTTTAATTTTCACTTAGACATATAGACATGAAGAAGCCAGAAAATCTCTACTTAATCATTAAAACCAATGTCATAAGCATCATTTCTCTGGCACAGTATTCTTCTTGCTGCCGTAATGTAAACAGAAAAAATACTTTAAGAGTGGCCAGTGTGTGCAGAATGAGCTGATAACTAGTCTTATGCCACCACCTCATATACAGAGGAGACAGGCCAGGCTGTTACACATCTCATCCTGAGGGATGCCTAAGTAAAGGAAAGCTAGTACTAGAAAATAATCCCCTGTACTTATGAAACAGTGAAATCATAACCTTAAAGAAAACAAAATTGTAATCATAGCACCCAGTATTATCAACAGTAGCGTTAGTGTTGGTCGCGCAGTCGTGTCTGACTCTCTGCGACCCCGTGGACTGTGGCCCAGCAGGCTCCTCTGTCCACGGGATTCTCCAGGCGAGAATATCGGAGTGGATAGCCATTCCCTCCTCCAGGGGATCTTCCCAATCCAGGGATCTTACCTGGGTATCCTGCATTGCAGATCCTTACCATCTGAGCTACCGGGGAAGCCCTAATAGTAGAACCAGGACCAAAACTCTAAATCTGGAGTTTGATTTGTTTCACTTTGCCAGTTAGTGACAAGCAGTGAATTCAGTCTCATCCCTTCAGCTTTGGAAATACCCTTCAGTGGCTCCGGCCTTGACCTGTCTGAATTGAGGGGGTGAGACGAGATGTCGGGCTCACAGGTCACACAGGAGACTCCTGCTGGTCCTGACGCTGGTTTCTCCTCTTTCAGTCACCTTGCCGCGGTGGCGCACAGGACGCTGCACGTCAGAAGCAGCCCTCCCGAGGTGGCCGGGGTACGTCGTGTCGCTTCTCCCTGTCGTCTCTGGCATCCTCAGCCTGTTGTTACTGAGTCAGTCTGGTGAATGTTCCCGGAGCAGCATCCGGCTGTCAGACTGCGGCACTGTACTTAGGCAGTAACTGTGCTTAGGCCGTAACAGTCGGTGTCACTTTCCACCACAGACACATTTTCCTGCATCGAGGGAGTGAGGAGTCCCCTCATCTGAAGCCGTGCTTCACGCTGTTACTGTCACTCCCATCCCACCACCCTGAGTACCAGTTTTCCCGTAACAAATTCTAGGAATTTGTCTTTGCTCACAGCCATCCCTCGGGCACTTGGAGATATTGTTCCTACTTTAATTTAGAAGAATGTTAGAATTACTTCTAAAAGCAATTTTACTTATTCAGTTACAGTTAGCCTGTTACTGAATTGACCTTTGATCATTCTTTGATTTATTTTGTAGGCCAGACTTCACCTTTTCAGAGCTGTCCGCTCAGTCCTAGCCAATGGAATGAAACTTCTTGGAATAACACCTGTATGTAGAATGTAATTTCTAATTGAATTGCTTTTAAAATACTAAATTCTAGTTATCTATTCTTATATGCCTTGCTATTTAGAATAGAATTGAAACTATTATTCTGTGTCAGAATCTTTATTTTATTGTCTACATTTTATTAAGTGATTTGTCAACTTATTAAATCTTTATCTTTTAAAAAAAATCATCTGAGTTCCCTCATCGTCAGTAAGTACTAAACAGACTTTTATAAAACTTAAGTGAAGTCTTTTTAAAGTCACTTTGGTCTAGTGGAGACAAAGGGCTGGAGTTTAAACTCTGGCTTGGGGGGTTTGCTTTTTAATAGAAGTACAGTTGGTTTACAATGTGACGTTAGTTTCAGGTGTACCTAGTGATTCACTGTTTTTATATATTACACTGCATTTCAAGTTAGTACAAAATAATGACTGTATTTCCCTGTGCAACAATCTTTCTTCTTTACCTGTTTTACACATGGTAGTTTGTATCTCAAGCTCTACCCCTTTCTTGCTTCTCCCCACTTCCCATTGGTAACCACTAGTTTGTTCTCTGTGAGTCTGTTGTGTTCATTTATTTCTGAGATTCCTCATATAAGTGATAACAAGAGTATCTGTCTTTCTGTGACTTATTTCACTAAGCATAGTAACTCTAGGCCCATCCATATTGTTGAAAATGTCAAAATTTCCTTTCTTTATGGCTGATACTCATATCTATGCACATCTTCTGTTGCTGGATACTGTGTTGCTTCCATGTTTTTGCTTACAATGCTGCTGTGAGCACCGGTGGGGAGGGGGCATGTAGCTTTTTGGTGTTTCTGTTTCTCTTCGGATATATACCCAGGAGTAGACTTGCTGGATCGCAGCTCTCGTTCTGGTTTTTTGCAGAACCTCCACATTGTTTTCCAAAGTAGCTGCGGCCACTTACCTTCCCACCAACAGGGGAGTTACAGTCGCTGCTGTCTGCACGGGTGCACACACCCCACTCGAGAGGCGCCTGGGCGGCCCCCAGCCCTCCAACCAGCCCAGGGAGCTGGCTGTGTCTGACCCAGGGCTGGGCTGCCCAGCACGCCTGCTGAACTGCTCGCTCCCAGGGAGGAGTCTCCCCCCGTGTGATCTCCCTGCCTCGAGTCCCCCCGGGGCACCAGACTGCTGCTGCTCCTCCCTTCCTGCTGGCTCTGTGTGGCTCTTTCCCACAGCCTCGGCTGTAAGCCTTTCTGCTCGTTTGCAGTTACTCCTCAGTGAGACCTGTTCTGATGCCGATGTGTGTGTGTTTGTGGGGCGAGGTGAGTTCCGGCTTGAGGTTTCTTACTATGCCATTCATCCAGAAACTCTTCTTATAAATAAGATTGTGTTTTTTTAACTTGTGGAGAAAAGTCTCAATTTTCTTAGGATCATGAGTGTTCTTAATAAATTTAGGGAGACCAAAATTAAGCTTTTTTGCCGATACAGCTGACTACTTGGAAAGAACAGATCTTGTATTTATTTCTTCATTGCTGTGTACAGGTACCTCTCGGCACACTACATGAACTGGGGCACTGAATACATTGAATAACAAGGAATTACTTTACAGATACCGACCTAGGATCTTTGTAAAAGAGCCCATTAAAGCATATGTGAAATGGAGTTTCCCAGCTGCGTGTATCTGCATGTTGTTGGGTACATTTTCCTGCTAAGGGAACATGAGTAGGATGTGGTCTGTTTGATAGGTTCAGCTATCCTCATCTGAGAATTTCTGTTCTGATCCGCTAAAATTTATTCTGACTGTTGCTACTAGAAGTCTTCTGAATACCAATGACAGTCTGTTTTTATGCATAGAGAAGCCAGTTAGCATGAACTAAAGCTTCTTTAGTTGAGTGAGTTTAGTTTTATATTGGCAAGTATGGTATACATTGTTAATCCTAGAAAAGACTCCAATTTTAAGTGAATTAGCTTCCAGATTGCTAATTCTCTACGTAAAGTATCAATATTTCTTCAGCATAAATCAGCCATGGAATAAAAACGTAAGCTGGGACATGTTTTACAGGTCTAGTATCCCCCGCCTCTTCTTTGAAAAAACATTCCCCTTCCCAGATCCTTAGTATCCCTCGCTTCCTTAGGATTTGAATCTTGAGTAAAGTGACACGGGGGCAATGATTGTTAGAGCCAGGTCTTTGAAAAAGCAGCTCCCTGAAAGACATGTACGTTAATTCCTATCACCTAGAGCCCTACAGTCTTCACAAATTCCTTTTGTTGTTGTTTAATGCTAGCTAGAGTCTCTTTATATAAGCCCTTTTTGCAACTTGATGAAAGTTCACATATAGAGAGTAAATTTAATGGTTTGGGCTTGTGTTTATGCTTAAGCATTGTCTTAATGGTCATATCTACAATACAAGTAGTGAGCAAACAGATTTCATATAATAAATTAAGTTTATTGCTGAATTTCCCCATATCATAGAAATTTTTTTAAAAAACACTGAAATTTCACAAATTATTGAGAGCCCAACAGTTACATACTTTATTTAAAAAAGTACAAAAGTGACATTAGAAATATTTTTTGAAGAAAAGTATATCCTCTAACAGCAAAGAAATACGAGTCCAGACAATGAATGGCACAAAGCCAGCACTTAAAGGGGCATTCAGTCACCACCCATACATCACTGTCTGAGCTTCTAGATAGATTCAGTTTGAGAAGTCACACAGTCAGTCTGTTTCTGAACTGGCCTGTCTTGGTTTTGCCTCCCTTCTGTAAGAGAAGAGCCAGGTCTTCACTGCTGCGTGGACTAAACACTGTACATGCCTCGGAGAGTACGGAGGGCCAGCCCTTCTCCCCTGGCACCTGAACAGAGAACAGTTGGCACAGAAATGGCTTTGGCACTTTAACCTTTAACATAGCCCCAAACCCCACTGATCAAATACTGCAGCCTCGCATGATTTTTTTTTTTAAACACCACATCATCTCCATACTATTGTATGTACACTGTTATATATACAATAATAAAAATCCTTCATTCTTAAAACAGGTTGATTCCAAACAGGTCACATTAAAACTCATTCACATAGCTTTCTTCTTAATTCTTAGACCAGTTTTTGTTTTTTAAATCTACCTTCTGAAATTGACTTAAGGCTCTAGTTTAATATAAATGGTTTAGTCTTAGTAGGAATCTCTTTTGAGGCTAACGTCACACACCGATGACTCTCTCTTTTGAATCCGTTTCTCCTTGTTGGATGGATGTAGTGTCTTGTCTGGGTAATCCATAGAGATATATAGAAACACAGACAAGCAGAGTACCCAGAGCAAAGGTGAGTGCTGGAAAGGAAAAAAAAAAAAGCTTAATCTGTATTTGTGCCCTTAAAACTACATCACGATGATCAGTTTAAAATTTTGAAGACTTTCAACTGTGGGTTTACACTATCAGACTGTATGGAAAATAAATTTTAAGTGTTCTGTATTTTGATGGTAAGGTTTAGAAAAGTAATCAATTGGAGCACCACCCCCCACCCCACACACCAAAAAAAAGTAGTGAGGTCAAGGGAGTAACAGTCACTGACTACATACTTTTCAAGCACACACGTATCACTGTCTGGGGTCACTGACCAAGAGCATACCAACATCCCTATCTGCTGACTCAAACAGCAGTGGAATATGGATTTTCCGTGACACTAGAAACCTGTTGAAGTTTAGAGTAAGAGGTAGTTGGCAAATTCAGAAAGTTAGGTGACTAATGATTCAAACCTTGGAGGATTCCTGAAGAGCAAATGAGGTGGTGATTTAATAAGTAAACATATTTTCTGCTAACCTTTTCTTTTAATCTTAATTCTGAAAATCAGGACGTAACTGAATTACTTGCCCAAAGTAGACATTATATAACTAAATCTGTGTCAAACTGTACATTCTGTTCAAAACTAAGCCATATTCTATCTTAAGGAGTACAATGGCAGAGTCTTAATATCTTTAAAAAAAATGTCATGCAGAAAAATTACATCGAGCCACGGATTTTAATTCATCCCTAACTAAGAAAGACTAGCTTTTCCTTCAGAAAGGGGGGAAGAGAGTAAATTAAATAGAACATCTAAAGGAGGGCCTAGAAATGGTAAGCAACTGGCTTTATACAGAACACCTGTGTGCCAGGCACTGTTCTAATAAGCATTTCGCCTAAAATAACCCTAGGAGACAGGTGATCTTGTTCCCAATTTACAGACACAGAAATGGAGACATGGGTTAGGTAACTTCCCCGCGGCTGTTCCGCTAATAAATGGTACCAGCAAGATTTGAACCATACCATCAATTTTTTTCCTAAGATACTGATGTTCTTCTATTTGCATTTATAACAAAAGTCAGTTTTAAAATGAAATGTAAATGTAGGCCAGATCTGATTCTTTTACTTAATGTTGATATTTGACAGATTTTCCTATGTATTAGTTTCTGGTATAACTGCTAAGTCAGTATCTCTGCTTAAATAATTCAGAAGACAACTAATAGTGGATATGGCTAGGGAAAATTATACTAGAAGGACAAGCATAAATTTCTTATTAATTACATATTAAATGAAATAAAGATAGCTTTATAAAAGAAAATTTAGATTTGCATTGTAGTTTCAAAAGCAGTTTATACCCAAGTCTAAAACAGGAAGGTACAAGCTAAGAGGGAAACGAAAGAAGTTTTACTCTTCTTCCCTCAAACAAAAAGCCAAGTTTACTGCAGCCCGCTGTGGTAAGCAGCCGCTTGCCCAGGCCCTTCTGCCCTGCGCTGTGTCATGCTGAACTCACGCTGAAGCACCCAGGTGGCCCTGTGTGGAGGCCTGCGGACAGGAAGGCCCCGGCTGCAGACATGCTCTTCCTGGTGAGTGGCCTGCTCGCTCTCATACAGGGGAGTAACACCCTCGGTTTAAGCTCTGGGACCATTTAAGTAACCTAAGTCCCGTGAACCCCACACTCCACACAGATATGAACTGCTGCACTTCTAGGATAAACGACAACAAAACTACGCAATTTCTGTAAACACTTTAAGCAACTGCCATATTTAATAAAAGATGAACCAAGGAAGTGAGAAGCTCTTCCCTGTCAAAAACTTACAGTACAAACTAGGACATACTTATCTGTAATCCGAACAGCATCACTGAAGCAATGGTAGAAAGGACAATGGCAGCTGCCGCAGAAAAGCCTTTCATGATATTGTCTGTGTATTTGACCACAACAGACGTGTAGAGGCCTCCAACGCTGGCAAGCACTTGTGTACAGAAAGAAAGAAAATCTTAACACTCAATGAAACATTCTATGACGGTGGGGCACTTTTCATCCTCAGAGATGCCATACTAATTCACCTAGGAAAATGCTGTTTTCCTTAGAAGCAGCCATATGAGAGTTTGTACTAAAAGTTGAGTCGTAGTTCCTACAAAACATTATTTTTCAGATGCCCAAAGGGCTATGTACTCTACTACTAAACTGTACACACTTATTGCTAACACGTTAGGTACTTTTGATTGTGAAGGCAAAAATTGCTTTGGGATAGCTTTGCCACAAAAGTAAGTCAATAAAATCAAAATTACATTTTCAAGCTGGTATTCTCAGTATCAAAGGAACAATTTAAAAATGCTATAAAGGCTTAAATGACATCTAACTTTTATTACATAATATATTTTATATTATATAATATATACATTATATTGTTAATTTTTTTTAAAAAAAGATCTACCTATAACCCTTAATTCCTGGATACTTACAGATGACAAACCAGACATAATATGTGTAACCAAAGAAAAATCCTTTTTCTTTAATTTCAGCTCCGTCTGACAAGTAGACGCCAACTAATGTCACAACAATCCCCGATAGATACATCTGAATGTTTCTCACCCAAAGGGAAGTGTCTGAACTCTTTAAAACTTTTTCAAAATATACTCCTGAAAGAAAAGTACGCAAATATGAAATAGATATTAGAAATTAAAATGTCTTTCATTTAGAATTAAAATCTAAAGATATGAAGTATATGATTTAGGAAACATTTCACACATTAATTTAATGCACGTTTATGGTGCTGGTTATGACACATGGCATACTGAACATCACCGATTTGTATTTTTACAGAACATACAGAATTAATAACCAAGAGGGAGCTTTCTAACCCACATTTAACAGGAAGTCCTTAATATTGTTAAGTTTCTGCCTTTATGATAGCAGTGAGCTAGATCACCAAAGCTGTCTCCTAATGCCACTGAAACACTTGGTTTGGTCAGCTAGAAAACTATACTGTCAAGACTCAATTATCTTAATCACACTCCTGTAGTATCTGCTTAGTGATGAATACTTTGCACTTTGCAAAATAACCTATATTTTTTCAGGATAAGTAACAGAATAAGTAACACAACCAAAATAAAATTTAAACACAACTTGCTGAGTGAAGCCACTTTCCTTTCAAGCAGGGGTCCACAGGCCAAGTTCATACACACAGTCAGAAGGAACATGAATTCCCTAACTAGACAGCATCTTTTGTGTATATGTGCATTTTTCTGCAGTGGATGATCCGTAGCTTTTTAAGTACTCCAAAAGAGCACATAACTTCTCCCTCAAAAGTCACATAGCACAGCTATAAGTTCTGTACGTAAAGTGAATGCGTGTTTAACAAGAACATTAAAGAGCTTTGTCCCAAACGCTAGAAACCCTGCCCCTAGAGCAGCCGTCCTCTGACCGGAATGAAAGCCAGGCCTTTCCTTTGATGAGCCTGCGCCGGGAAGGGCCGGGGAGTGGGGCAGACACAGTGGCCGCTCCTAAACTGGAACGAAAGCCAGGCCTCCCCTTGACGAGCTGCGCCGGGAAGGGCCGGGGAGTGGGGCAGACACAGTGGCCGCTCCTAAACTGGAACGAAAGCCAGGCCTCCCCTTGACGAGCTGCGCCGGGAAGGGCCGGGGAGTGGGGCAGACACAGTGGCCGCTCCTGTTTCTAGCCCTGACTTTCCGCATCTGGAAAAGCCAGTGGCCTGTTCAGCTCTGAGTTACTCCGAGCACAGAGGGGCATTAAACCACCTACCGCTTCCTCACTTGTGTCCTGAGAGGCTGAACTAAACAGAGTGCTGGACACACTTTAACTGTTCAGAACAGTGCGAAATATCAAACTGTGTTACTTCAAGTGTAAGTCAACTTTTGTTTCTGACTTGTTCTTTAAGACTCTAGCACAATGCTGTCATTAAGTTTATTCCTAAATTCAGACTTTCCCCTCTTATCAGACGACTAGAAGAAAAAAAGATTACTTTCCTAGTCAAAAATAAAGTACTATAAAATAAAAAAATAGTCTTAACTCTTGAAATAGCACAAATAAATAATAAAGATGTATAGCTATAACTAATATACCCTTTCAGTTTCTTCTCTGTTGGAACTATGTCTAAAACATCTCATTTCTTATATTGCACTTAACATTCATACTTTTGTCTCTTCTTGATTCAGTGATAGATTGCTTTTCCCTTACACATGTGAGTCAGATTCCATGTTTATCTGATGTTAGTGGTTCTGATTCTTCTCTCCCTTTTTGGCGCTTACTTCTGGGTACTAGGTTTTCTGAGGTATTTGTCACCTCCCTTTCCTCCCTACTCCATAATTCCTAATCTGTTGAAGCATTGGAAGAAATTGAGATTACCAGGGAAATACAGACAGCAAGCTGGTAACAAGCAACCTAAAGCAGCCGAATCTAGCCTGAGGTCAGTGCCAGAAAAATAGAAAGAGGTACTTGAGCTTTCTGATGGCTAACTTACTCCATTTTCAGAGGTCTTTTTTCATTTACTTTGGGGTTCTTAGGTGGACTGGGGATAGTCAACGATGACAAACACATTCTCACATAACTGCAAAAATGAGTAAGGACTGAGATCTTCGCTGAGTTAAACACTACTACATGCTCCCTAGAAAAACAATTTGACAACTGAATAAAGTGCTTTTATGATTTACCTGCAAATCCTGAGCACAATACAGCAATAGCTATAGCGCCAAATCCTAACAGTGGATTCTGTTCCACCTGCAATAGTAATGTTTTAAAAGTTATTCTTTGTGACTAAAAATACAACTCATCCAAGAGACCAAACAAATGAATACAAAACTCTGTTTATAGTTCTATTGAAAGTATGTGTCATTATCAGACACAGCTTTTCTACAGAAGAAGACAGGACCAAACAAATGCCACCCCAGGGACAAAGAAAGTACTGAAGTTAAAAACATATCGGTCAAATCACAGCCACGAGGCCTGCCTGATAACCACGCGCGCCTTCTTCCCGATAACAGCGGCACCCGAGCACAGAACTGCATAGCCCATCACTTCATGGGAAATAGACGGGGAGACAGTGGACACAGTGTCAGACTTTATTTTGGGGGGCTCCAAAATCACTGCAGATGGTGACTGCAGCCATGAAATTAAAAGACGCTTACTCCTTGGATGGAATAGTTATGACCAACCTAGACAGCCTATTAAAAAGCAGAGACATTACTTTGCCAACAAAGGTCCGTCTAGTCAAGGCTATGGTTTTTCCAGTGGTCATGTATGGATGTGAGAGTTGGACTATAAAGAAAGCTGAGCACCAAAGAATTGATGCTTTTGAAATGTGTTGGAGAAGACTCTTGAGAGTCCCTTGGACTGCAAGGAGATCCAACCAGTCCATCCTGAAGGAGATCAGTCCTGAGTGTTCATTGGAAGGACTGATGCTGAAGCTGAAACTCCAGTACTCTGGCCACCTCATGCGAAGAGTTGACTCATTGGAAAAGACCCTGATGCTGGGAGGGATTGGGGGCAGGAGGAGAAGGGGACGACTGAGGATGGGATGGCTGGATGGCATCACCGACTCAATGGGCATGAGTTTGAGTAAACTCGGGGAGTTCATGATGGACAGGGAGGCCTGGCGTGCTGCAATTCATGGGGTCGCAAAGAGTCAGACACGACTGAGCAACCAAACTGAACTGAACCACCTGTCAGCCTTCCCAGGCAGCACTAGTGGTAAAGAACCCGCCTGCCAAGGCAGGAGACGTAAGAGACACAGGTTCGCTCCCTGGGTTGGGAATATCTGGAGGAAGGCGTGGCAACCCCTCCAGTATCCTTGCCAGGAGAATCCCACGGACAGAGGAGCCTGGTGAGCTACAGTCCATGGGGTCACAAAGACTCAAACATGACTGAAGCAATTTAGCACGCAAGCAGCAGCCACCACTTCATTCTAACTTCTGACACCGCCATACTCAAGCCCTTGTAGGATCAATCACGGAAATGATGACACTCTGACTTGCTTTATTCCCTATCACCTATGGGATAAAGGACTTGTAAGATTTCCAGCGTTACTGAATTTTTATCAAATATTAATAGCATGACTTTTACAAACCATACACACTATTTTATAAAGTAAATGAATAAAGAGGAGGCTGATACACAGCTCTGATTCTTAAATAGTTCATTAATGTGAGAGACTGACATGCATATATATTCACAATACTTTGCTAACAGATGCAGGCATATGGACCCCCTACCTATTGTTTCAACTTTATTTCCTCAGGAGCCTTCATCAGTCTTTGCTCAGAGATCAGTGTTATCTGAGCGGCAGCGCTCAGGAACTTAGGGTTGAGACACATGACTAATGTGACAAGCACATAGCTTGTTCAAAACAAATAAGCCTCATAAAGCAGAGTGTTACTTTGAGGACCTGAGACAGAAAATATCTGTGCGAAGATAAAAGAAGAAATAGAAGATATTATGGACTAATGATTCTCAAAGTATGGTCCCTGGACCAACAGCAGCAGCAGCGTCACCTGTTACAAATGAAAATTGACAGGCATTCCCCAGACCTACTGAATCATAAACTGTTAGCCTCCACCCTCAAAATCTGTTTAACCTTCCTGTTAATTCTGATGTATACTGATGTTTCGAGAACCACTGCTATAGACTACAATGGATAAACATGGATGCTTTCCTAATATAACCTATAAGACTGGCATAGAAATGAGAAAAAAAAATGGAAGGACACTAGAAAGCTCAGGCTACTAAATACAATGCCTGGCAAATTCTTGGCTTTTCTGCCGATTTAATCTCTACAGTTAGCAAAAATGGTGATAGACACTGACTGCTTCTCTGGGCTTAAAGAAGTCAGGTGTCACTAGTTAAAGGTATCTTCAATGAATTCTTATTTTATAGGAACACTGAAAAAAAAATTAAAACTACAGTATACAAAACCAAGAGGAACCAACCAGGAATTTTAGTATCAAAAAAAATTGAAAGCTCTGAATAAGTGGAGGCTTGCAAAAATACTATAAAACTTTGAAGAAGGCCTTTAAAAGAGAAGAAAAGAGTGTTTCTTTTGCTAGATGACATACTGTTAGCAACAAAATAAGAGTTACCCAAATCTAGTTTCCACTTTCTCTGTGAATAATGATTTTAAATGAATGAATGAATGGGAAGTTAAGTCCAAAATGTGTGGTTTGCTGTCATAAAAACACCCACCTAAATTCAGAAGCATCTTGACCAAGAATAGTACCAAGTCAAGGTGTGTTCACTACATCTGTGAAGATTACTGGGGCATGGAAACTGTGCCAGAAAATCTGAATTGGGCAAATACTGTCCGGATTTTCAGAAAGGCAGAGTGAAGGAAAAGCTGCAGAAATGATCAACAGCAGCTTCAGGCGTTGAAGGCAGGCCAGTACACTCACCAGAACCGCAGACTCTGGAGCCACACTGCCTGGGCTCAAGCAAGCTTGAGCTGTGGACCCACTGCTAAGCTTCTCTGCCTATCAGTCTCCTCATATGAAAAGGGAAATAAAGACACACATCTCATATGACTGGTGTGGGCATAAGTGAGTTAATGTGTGTAAAGCACTTAGAACATTGCTAATAACTAGTGTTGACTGCGGTGTTGTTACTGTTACTGAATACAAGCAAAATCACACCACAGATGACTTGTAGAGCTTAAAAAGTCCAATGGTCATCACACACACACACACAAATGGTGTGGCTTCCATAAGAAGACACACCAAACTGTCTCACTGAAAGGATTCCTAGTTAAGTGATGAGGGGAATTCCACAGAAATAATGTTCAGTAAGAAATGTGACAGATTCGCATAGTATTTTTGTTACTGAGACAGAGAAATGGAGTGAGGATAACTAGTTCTATTCATAGCTGAGTGAATGCTCATGTAGCAAAGTGCTAATTAACAGAATAAAACCAAGCTGGACCTACAGCCGCTATCAACCAGCCAGGCACATGAATAAGCCACCAGAGAAACAGCCCCTCCAAGCCTTGGCAGGTCTGCAGCTCCCTGCAGGCCTGGCTGGTATCTTGACTGCAACCTCTTATGAGACCCCTCAAGCCAGAATGTCTAAAAGAGGCCAGAGCTCAGGCACCCTTGAATTCCTGATTCATGAAAACTGAGAGGGATAACAAATGTTTCTTAAGCAAGAGGAAAAAAAATAGAGATCTAAAGGCATGTCCTCAGAACTCTGATCCCGTCTGTCTAAAATTTTCAGTGAAGACCCAGAAGACATGCGTGCTGCATCTGCAGAAAGCATTAACAACATTTCAAGAAAAAGCTAATGACCAATAAGGACTGCAGAACTCAGACGCTTGAGCATTAACCCAAAGTAACAAGATGGGCTTAATAAATATAAACACATCTTGCACTTCAGTTTAGAAGCCTGCTGCACAAATCACATCTGAGAAAAACTGTGTGTGTGTGTGAAACAGCTACATGTGGTTATATAATCAGTTACAGAATGGATAGCCACCTCCAACCAAAAAAAAACAAAAAAACCCTGATACAACCTTAGGCTGACTGAACAAGTCTAGAGGTAATTAGCGAACTACAGCTCAGCTCAGTTGGTAAAGAATCTGCCTGCAATGCAGGAGACCCAGCTTCTATCCCTGGGTCGGGAAGATCCCCTGGAGAAGTATTGTTGCCTGGAGAATCCCATGGACAGAGGAGCCTGGTGGGCTACAATCCGTGGGGTCACAAGAATCGGACACAACTTAGCAACTCAACCACCACCAACACAACGCACGGTATTCAGTCAACATCTGGAGATGGTATGAGCTTTGGGGACACACCGAGGAAAAACAATGGATAAATGCATCTAGAAAAGAAGTACAAGGCAGCGCGGGGACAGGCCAGGGGTCACAGAGTCCCCAGAAGGCACATTCTAGGAAGAAACAGGTCCTCTCAACAGGGGACAGAAAAAGACACGGAAGGCAGGCTTGTGACAGTGTTCTCAGACATTCCAAGGGCCATCATGTGGAGCTAGCAGGGGTCTGAGTTACTCTGAGGAGAGCAGGGAACAAGAGGCAGTTACAGGAGGCTGCATTCTGTTCAAGATACGAAAGAACTTTCTAGAGTGCTCCAGCAGTCAAATTCTCTGCTTTAGTTTACTAAGCTTTTCATACGCATTACCTATGCGAGGTGGACATTTGCTAAACATGTAAAGTGGCCCTGGAAGTTCATATTTAACTTTTAAGTGTTTGCATTACTTCCCAAACAAATTATTTCTCCAATGGTCTACATCCGAGTTACACGTGCAGTACATACTTGATCAGTGTTTGAAATGTCACCAAGAATATAAGCACATTTAAACATCATGTAAAGACAATAAATACTAGTTTAAAACTTACTTTCTGAGAAAAAAAATTCTTCCGCCAGGCCAGAAAGTACGTAAAAAGCTGACTTTTCCTACTTTCACAAGCTCTGCATACCTCCCCGGCTGCCTTCCGTTCCTAAAAGACCATGGGCCCACTATGGTCATACACCCTGAACTTCTCTGATCTTGGAGGCCAAGCAGGGCGGGACCTGGTTAGTACTCGGATGGGAGAACCCATGCTCTCTCGTTTGGGAGAAATATGCGGAAGGAAGCTCCTGACCTTCAGGTCCCCCACTGTAGCTCTGCTTCCTACTTCTCTTTGGGAAAACAACCAATTAAAGCATGTAATACTTAAAAAAATCAGGTATATACCTTAACATTTAACTCTTAAACTAAAAGTTAGAAGTGAAGGCACCTCTTGCCCTATTTTAGTTATCAATTATCAGGAAAACACTGCTACTCCCCTATAAGCCCAACTGTTGACGGTGGCTGTATGTACAATGCAAGAATTTCTGTGACTGCAGGAGAGCATGAAAATTAGATGGAGAAAACTGCCCAGTATTTCTGAGAAAACGTATAAAAGAGGCCTAGAAGTTCTGAACATATACACTGTGTGGAAGTTTGCACAATTTGAGCCACAGGTTACCTATTAACTAGAACTTTGGATAAGTTACTTCCTCTCTTTGAAGTTACTTCAATTTTGTTATCCATAAAATGAAGGAGGGGCACTATACTGAGTTTAAGATAACATTCATCTCTAACGTATTTTATGCACATTCTCCTCTTTTAAAAAAAAAAGCCAGTTTCCTCTCCTTAGCAATAACATTTTCCTAAGGGGCAAAAAGGATATATGTAAGGCAAAGGTTATTTTCACTCAGAGAAATACAATCAAGCTCCACGCATCAGCGTGACTGACTCAAGGGCGTAAGACCTTAAGTTTTCTAGCTCAGTTACGTTAGGCGTGTTGTTTCTTACCACGACTTTGGTGGCCTGGGCTGGCTTCCACTGCACGAGTGTGACTCCCCCGCACAGCATAAACACTGAAATCCACTGCAGCTTGCTGAGCGTCCGGTTCAACATGAAGACAGTGCACAGAGCAGTGCAAGGGATCTTCAGCTGGTACGTCACCTGAGGACAACACATGAGCTAATCAGCTCCGCTAACGTTGGACTCCGAGACCAGTATATCTGGTGTCGTTAACAGAACCGAGAAGAATATCTGACAGTGAGAGAAAGGGTTAATAAAAATGCTGTCCGCATAAAAACATGCCTTTAAAGCCTCTGCGCCCCTGACCACCACCCACCTGGTACACCGCCGCATCCAGGTTGCTAAGAGCGAGGAAAGCCATGTTGTTCTGGACGGCGTACACCACGGAAGGCACACTCAGCTTCATCAGCTCCTTGGGGCTCCCCAGGACATTCTCTCTCAAAGACGCCCTGAGTCTACCCAGATTACCAGTTTCCCTTTGAAAACGAAACAGGGAAAGGAGAGGGGTGAGGAAGAAAGGGAAGGTCATCCTATCAGATGCCATCGCAGATGGGGCAGCTACAATGTGTTAAGTTCACTGATAGAATTTAACAGACTTGTTTATTTTTAGAATTTTTGACTAATTTTCGGTCTCTTAAAAGAAATACACCAACAATATGTGAAAAACAATTACAGTTTCTATTTGGGAAAATATGGCACTTGGTTTACCATCATCCACCTCTGGTCAAAGCTCCAGGGGCTTCTGAGTATATGAAGTTATGAGATAACAGGAAACCAGAATTGCTGATATTACCCATAAAAAATTAATCCCTGCCGCTTTCTGCCATTACATCAAGTTTACCCTGATTATTTTTTAGATTAATCAGACTGCATATCCATTTAAAACAATTTTTAATTACAATAGATTTAAATTGCAAACAAAAGAAAAAAGCTTTAGTACTTAAAGAAGTTACTTGAGATTAATTTATAAATTTTGACCTGCATCACTCAATGAGATAAGAAGAGGAACTGAGTGATGTAGGTCAATATTATTTGTAAACTAATTCAGTGTTTGTGCAATACGGTGGACAATAAATCTTTAGATAAGCATATTCTCATAAAACTCAAGTATGTATCTATATAACTTGGCAGGAAATCTGAATAATTAATACCAGTAAAGGTAAACTGTATCTACAATGTACATAAAGTTCACTACTGCATATTGATTAATGCATGCTCTTAAGTATTCTTATTTTTCTGCAGGAGGAACTATTAATAGCTAATCTGACTCATACTTTCCCCTGCTATAAATCAGCTCACTTATTCCCTGAAAATACATATCAAAGAACACTTTTATAAGCATCAACACCAAAAAATGCTACATCAAAAGGTTCCTAGCTACAGCTCAAAACATCCTTAAAGAGGACCATAATGCTGCATTGAGAAGACTAATCTATGTCAACTCACAATGAGCCTTCAAATTTTCGGTTAACAGATTAGAATCAACAGTCACTAACTGGGTATTTTCATACTAAATAGGGCAAAAATGATTACCCAGGTTCTGAGGGGGAAGCAAAAAGTCCATAATGTTGAACTGACTACCCATTCACCATAGAACACTCCAGCACCCAAGAAAATACTTAAGACAGGAAAGTCGGCCTGGACCACAGAAACACAAGGTGTCCTTAGTTATAGGCTGTCTGCTGCCAAATTCAACACACTCCACACCACAATGGGAAATCCTTATGCTGAAAACTGCACACACACACAGCTAGAGGGAGATGACAAAAGCATCCAGGAGAGGAGAGAATTCAAGAAAGATGACTGTGCTGGGAAAAATCTACATGGGAGAGATTTCCAGACACCTGACGTTCGGCCCTTTAAACCTTTAACACTTCTTTTTTTAAACACAAATCTATAATGTTCTATATAATTCTCCACATCTTAAAAGAGTATAAAGAAAAATTTCTCAAATTTTCCCTCAGTTATAAAACTGAAAATAAAAAACGATTAAGAAGAATCAGAGGTCCAACTCAAAGAGCCATGTTAACAGGTGACGTCACAAAACATGGCCGAGCGTCTCCCGTGGTTCTCAGCAGTGCCTTATGATGGGAGAAACAAATCTTACAGAACACTGCTGTCACTGAGCCATTACTTCATGTCCTTCCGAAATACTTTTCTACTGATGTATCTTCAGAGTGGTTCCCTAGGGAACTCCTGAGAGGTACCAGTTTGTACCCATCTTTTATGTTCTACTTCCTTTCATGTCTATTTATCTCCCACATAGGGTTCCGCAAGCTCTAGTTTAATGGCTATTTATCCCTCCTCTGATCCCCAGCTATGGGCAATGCCACCCCACGTCCACTCCACAGAGAGACTCTAATCCCTCAGTAGTATCAAGTGAACTCCTGGCTATCCAGAGCTCAGTGCTGGCCTGTTCATCACTGACTCTCCTGCTCTGCATGAATATGGGCTGCGTACGGATCTGACTGCGTCTCCTACTAACCACCACGCCTGCAGCGGGAATCAGGGCTGCCGTGGCACCTTTTCTCCATGTCACTTCTTACCACTGCTACACTTTTCAGCTTTCCCATCACAAGAAGGGCCTGTGAGACATCACCGGTCAGTCTGAATGCTCCACTCCTTCAACGTGGCAAACCAGCAGAGTGTGGTGTACTGTGCCCAGATTAACCTTCAGGTCTGTGGCTCCTGATTAGGTCCTTTCTATTGGATCTTTCTCCTTGGATGTTTAGGAATTACTACTTCTTCACTGCCAAGAAGCCTTCAGGATCTCGCTCTGGTTTCTCCTCTAATGCAGGCATTAGAGGAGCCAAGGTATACCAGAACGCTGTCGGAGGAGAGCCGAGCTTCACCACGGGATTGTATCAACAGCATGCAGCTACAACAAGACACTTGGAAATAAGCTACAAAAAAGTAGCAGCGATTGCTAGAAGAACTTGCAAAAGAAAACAAAAGCTCAAGAATAATTAATGACATTGTATAGTAAAATAAAGGTCCGTGTAGTCAAAGCTGCGATTTTCCAGTAGTCACGTACAAATTTGAGAGTTGGAACACAAAGAAGGCTGAGCGCTAAAGGACTGATGCTTTCAAACTGTGGTGCTGCAGAAGACCCCTGGACCGCAAGGAGATCAAACCAGTCAATCCTAAAGGAAATCAGCCCTGAATATGCGTTGGAAGGACTGATGCTGAAGCTCCAATACCTTGGCCACTTGATGCAAAGAGCTGACTCACTGAAAAAGACCCTGATGCTGGGTAAGACAAAGCAAAAGAAGAGGGTGCCAGAGGATGAGATAGTTAGAGAGCATCACTGACTCAACGGACATGAGTCTGAGCGAACGCCCAGACAGTGAAGGACAGGAAAGCCTGGCGTGCTGCATTCCATGGGGTCGTGAAGAGTTAGACACCGCTTAGCAACTCAACAACAATAGTAGAATAAAGAGATATAGGAGGTATAGCAAAGAATATATGGGAATCTTAACACACAAAGTTTTAAAGAGGTAAATTATTTCAGTATGAGATTAAATCTTGCTTAATTTTAACATATTAAGAAAACAGCTCCAAAACTTACGGTTTTACTCATGAAAGTTAAAATATATATACACCAATGTATCTTCCAGAAAACACTAGTAATCATCTATCCTTTTGTTTTACTGTTAAGTAGACAAAGATAAATGATCAATTTTAAATATACTATAGCCTTGAATATACTAGTGAAAGGAACACATAAAAACCAAAGGCCATTTTTTCTTCCATTTTTCCTGATATTTTCTTGGAAATCAAATCCCATGCACTTTAATGAGTATATTTTGTTAAAAACAAATTTATTGAATTTAATTATATAAATGACATTGTGAGATAAGAAAAAGCATGTCTAAAATCAAAAAGCATATTTAAAAAAATATATAGCCTGTCCCATTAAATTTACTGTTTGACTTTTATCACTGGAAAAGAATCTATGTTCAACCTCTTATTACCTGAAGAAACGCTGAAGCTCCCTGTTGATTGTAGACAGATTCTGCTGCCGCCTACCCCCCTAAATTTCCTACCAACCGGCTGAAACCAGTTCTTTCTATGTTTGGTCAAAAGTAGGTCTCATTCTTCCAGCTCCTGATCTGACGAAAACTACTAGGAGACCTAAAATCCTTGGCTAGGTTACCAAGGCACTGTGCAAAATGGAATAATAATACAGCACAAGTTACTCATGAGCTTAAGAAATTTCAGTTTTGCTTACAAATTTCTTATCTGCAAAGTTAATCTTCATTCATTATTCTAGGTAATACTATGAAATAGTAAAATAATTTTCTCCAGTCTTATAGGGATAAGTAGTTCAAAGATTTCAGATGCAATTATTACTAGACACACCCAAAGTAATATGTATGTTTACACACCCTTCTAGGTTTCTTTAGTCTTTACAGGCTGCAGTGGACAGCAAATAACAAGAAGCTGACTTTGTGCTAAGACAACACGACAGTGTCTGCACCTCCTTTTTCATATCACAAATGACACGTGTAAATCAAAAGTGTTAATTTTAATAGCTATGACAGTTTAGTAAAGCTAACTAGCAATTTTCCTGTGAATTGTTGTAGTAATTATTTTATGAACCCAAAACATTTTTACATGTATTTGTTTTATGTTTCAACTGTATTATAACTTAGAAATCAATAACTTCACATTCAAATACTTGCTTTTGCATCAGACTGCTAAGCTACTCCCCTCTCCACAAAATAGGATGTCTGTTTCCTTTACCACATGAGAGTGGTGTGACATAACTCATACATATGCACAACAGTGTACATTAAAAGGTAATTATTACATCTTTGTTTTACAGTTGCAGAAGGCTACATACAATCTAAACATCCATCAATAGAAACTGGTCTATATAATACATCTGTATAATAGAAAACCACACAGCTCTTAAAAATAATAAGACAGAGTTCTATGTATGGACATGGAACCATCTCTAAGATAAAACATTTAAATGGAAAAAAGTTAAAAAGCAAAGCACAGTGTGAACTTTGTATGCACACAAAATTACAAGCATTGTACATACATACATGTACATGCATTTTAGTTACATGCTCTAAAATTCCCCAATCAGACCATGTAAACCTTAAACCTTACTTATCAAAGTAAGGTACCACCCATCAAATATTGCCCCCAGTCCCCATTTTTTTTGCACTTCTAATTTATGATAAAAACAAGTATAATTTCATATTCCAAAAACTACTGAAACTTAAAAGTAAAATCAAACAAAGATGGTGGAAAAACTCCAAATTAATTACAAACAAACAAACAAAAAAGAAAAAACAAACCTGTCAGTTTTTTTCATGAATACCAAAATAACACTGATGGAGAAAAACAGAACTAACCCAAGTATTCTAAAACGCAGTCTTTTTACTGTATGCTCCAAGACTAAACGCAAAAAGAACTGCATACAAATACTGAACTTTAGTTAGTAGGTTTGCTTTTCCACAGC